AGTAAGAAACAATAATATGAAATTGCACTATGCTTTTCTTATTGCCAGCAATAAACAATTGACAACTAAGGGTTCAACTAAAGCCCATAAGACTATACTCTTAGCAAAAATGGTTCTGAAAAGTACCAAAAAAGTTTCAAAGTGCTTTTGTTTAGATATGAACCACCGTGGGCCTAGCTTGTAACTGTCTCACATACTTGCTCGCTCACATTTAGCAGGTTGATGATTCTCCACAAGGGTGAAATAGCTTTTGGTGCCTTGCGTAAATGACACTGTGTCCATGTTAAGAGTTCAGAGAGGCAAAGAGGAAGAGATAGGGAGGTACCTGCTAAGTAGCTGCACAATATATAGTTTGTTTAATACACCACAATGATTGCCTTTACAGTACTGGTACTACAGTCTGCAATATGCAGATAAGCCTCAAACTAATCACTGATGTTTTATAATGTCCTGAATTTGAATGAGAGGGCTACAATCACAGATTATATCCAAGTATCAACAGACAGACAGACAGACAGACAGACAGATACCTAGATAGCTAGCTAGCTAGCTAGATAGATAGATAGATAGATAGATAGATAGATACCAGAGGCAGCTCAACATGCTTAACAGTAATAGAAGAAAATATGCCTTATATGATTTAAATGTATTACTCAATGATACAGATCAAAATAAAAAAGATAAATACCAAAAGAGATGTAGAATTAAATGCTTTTAAATGCTAAATTAAAGAGATATATTTTTAAATGTTTCTTAAAAGTGCGCACTTGACTGTCTAATAAAAGGTGGAAATGAGTTCCACAGTTTAGAAGCAGGATAACTGAAAAGGGTATATTTCCTCTGTTTAATGGAAGGTAAACAGAAGTTCAGTATCTGCAGATCTAATATCACACGTTGGAACTTAAACAGACAGACATTCTGTGAGATAAGTGGGTGCTCAACAATTTAGAGCTTTAACCCCTCAAAATCCCAGGCTGATTACATACTAAGGCTTCTTATTCAGTAACTATAGGGACGTCCATGCAAACTGGCTGAGCTATTCTCAGATTATAGAAGTGAACTTTGGCTGCTGGCCATTTAAGGCATTAAAAATGAGAACTTTAAAATCTATCCTAAAAGATACAGGCAGCCAGTGCATTTCGGGTGATATGAGCTCTCTTTTTTGTTTTTGTTAGGGTCTGTGCTCCTGCATTTTGTGCAAGTTGTAAGGGATGTATTGTTTTCGTAAGGGACCCAGTAAGAAGAGCATTACAGTAATCAAGTCTGCTTGTAACAAATGCTTGAACAAATTTATCTGAGATAGAAAAGGCTGAGCATTTCTCAATGATAAAAAGCCACTTTAGTGACTGTCTTTACATGTGGGATAAAACAGAGCTCAGAATCTAAGATTACACCCAAGTTTTGTACTACAAAGCAAAAGAACTGAGCTTCTGCTAAAACAGCTTTTTCTGAATTTTAAGTACCAAAGATCAGTATTTCAAGTTTTTTTTTTTTTTCCATTTAGTTGTAATTTTGTGACATCCACTGAGAAATATCTGAGCCTGTACAGAGTTTTGATTTTTCACAAGGAATGGAAATGTATAATGCAAGTCATCAGCATAGCTATGAAAATTTATATCATATTTCCTAACAACATCACCTAGAGGTAACATGTACAAAGAGAATAGCAAAGGCCCTAAAATTCAACCTTGGGCTTCACAGGAAATATTTTGATTAATGATTTCTATAGAACTGTCTATTCATTGCACAAGATTCAAACCATTCTAAAACTGTACCTGAGAGGCCAACCCAGTTTTCCAGTTGGTGGAATAGAATCTTGTAATCAGTGGTATCAAAAAGCTTCACATGAGCAGCTAAACTTCAGCCTGCACTACCACAAATGGCTTGAAGGGTCAAACTAGAGAAATGCAGTAAAAATACTTAACTCATGTTGACCTAATTACAAAGCACATATAAAAATCGTTGCAGTTGGCCTTTAAATGTATTAAAAATGCATTATTAAACCCTAGAAGTGTGGCCTACATTGGTTTTACCAAAAGGATTTATGCATTTATGTTTTTAGGATCATGTGAATGCCTTGTCTGATCCAAATACCCATGTAAACAGATGTCTGATTAATCAGAGTTCTCACAGCTCATAATGAAGCATTCAAACATTAGCTAGAGAGGCTTATTTGCATATAGCAGACAATTGCAATGTCCGTATTGTAGTATATTTAGTAGCATCCAGGTTCGTCAATGTGTTTATTGGTGATTGCAAGGCAATTTGCAATATGTAGCAGTATGATATTGTCCACATTATGCAGCCCTGCTGCTGTGTGTGTTTGTGTTTGTCTGTGTGAAGAGAGTGAGAAAGAGCAAACGAGGGAGAAAAGGACAGTTCGACAAGAGTTGACCTCCACATTCAGTGAAAGAGATACAGATTCTCTGTGTATATGTGTGTGTGTGGAGAAACAGTGTGTGTGTGTGCGTGTGTGTGAAAAGAAACTCGGCTTGTCGTATTTTATTGTGTCTCACTTTCTCGCAGCTCCGTTCAATCACGTTTCTCCAAATCAATTCCATCGATGCTTCAGGGGAGCACAGACAGCGGGGGCAGATGTGTCTGCAGCTGCTCTAGCAGCTTTACCATCTCTCTTCTCATCTTTCTTTTCGTTATCCACCTCCCCCTTTCTCTCATTTATCATCCCTATTTTTAATTCTTTCTTTTTTTCTCACTTTCTCTCCAAACTCCCCACTTTGCCCTCCCTTCCCTACCCTACCTTCTACGTCTCTCTCTCTTTCTCTCTCTCTCACACTCTTTTTAGGTTTCTCTTTCTCTCTCTCTCTCTCTCTTTCCCCTTTCTGCCCAGCCCTGATATTTTCCTGGCTGTTTTAACAGTAAGAGATTGATTACTATGACAGAGGTAGTGATTACCGTTGCAGGCGGCCTCCGCAGCCTCCGGAGTGAATATTTACCTGAGAGAAATCCAATCAGGCCCCGCTAATGCCATTCAGCCGCCAGTTTAATCTGCTGCAGGATTCAATTAGAGATGCGCTCCTCCTCGGCCTGTGGGCGGGAGGCTAACGGCGAAGACCTCCTTTCTGGAACTCCTGTGCTGTAGCTGATGTACCGGATGCTGTTTCCTGAAGTCAGGCTTTCAGGCCTGTTCACAGTCTGACAGAGTGTACAGATGTAAAAGAGCAGGTGTACAGTTTTGTAAACAAACACATGCAAATGAATGAAGAGGAAAATGTTCTGTACATTTTTTAATCTGAGCCAGTTAGATTTTCAAACTGTATGGATGTGTTTAAAATCAGGCTGACCAATCAGAGCTCCATCATCATGGCTGCAGTCCAAACAAATGTGCATCATGACGGCAGAACAGCTCATCTTGCTTGAGGCAGAGCACAAATACTTATATGACAAGACGTTTTAGAAAAAATATATAGTGGACAAATAACTGAAAGGCTGGGGAATGACGGTGAGAACCCCTAGTACAACATAGCAACTGTTTATAGCCATATTTGTGTATCTCTTCTCTTCATATCCGGTCTTTTTGTGGAATACGAAAAGGGGAATGTTATAGAACTGTGATAGTTTTTGTTACTGTGATAAACAATATGTATTTATGAGCATATAGTGGACATTGTCAGTACTTAAACTGACCAAGTGCATGTTTTACTATAAAGGAACTATAGTTAAGTCTGTTTAGTTGGATTTAGTGCAGTGTAGGGTGCGAAAATTGAATAATAATCATTGTATTCATAGTTTTTGATGGTAGGTTTTGAATGTGGCACTACAAGTGCATTTTGTTGAAATACCAAAAAATACATGTCATGCATTGTGAAAATGTCTGTAAGTATCATGATATGGCATTTTTGCCATATCACCCACCCCTAATTCATGCAACCACAAAGAAGGACCCTCACAGTAAACTGATGCTTATTTGTCTGCTGTGTGAGTACACTGTTAAAAAAATCTTCACATTCCACAGAAGAACCTTTTAGTAGATGGTTCTTTAGAGAACCATTTTCGTAAATGAGATGATGAGATGTATTAGTGTGAAAAGCCTTTTTGAATAAAAAAAAAAAAGCCTTTACATAATGTAAAGGTTCTACGAAGAGCCCTTCAACTGGTACAGAACTTTTACATTATGTGAAGTTTCTTGATACCTTTAAGAGGTTCTTCACATTACATCTCATTTACAAACATGGCTCTTTAGGTAACTAAAATGGTTCTTCTGTTGATACTTAGTAGCTCTCAACTAATGACAGAAACAGCTTGAGCTCAAATAAACAAGCATTGCTCACTGCTGCCCTCTAAATATGTTATAGCATTCATTTTGTTTAGTTTTGTTTAATTTTGTCTTGTTTTTGTAACACTAATGATATGTGTCAGTATATGTGTTTCCGGGTATCTTTCATTTACATGTATTTGTATCTCAACTGATGGAAACAAACCCAAGTCTTATTCAGTTTGTTGTAACATAAACATATCTTTGTGAAAGCTAACAGCTGTGGCGAATAACTGCGATCAGCTTAAATAACTGTGATCAGCCAGTTAGGTAATCATTATGGCAAACTTAAGCACTTCATCATTAATAACACTGAAAATGACATGAAAGCATGCAGTTTGATTATATCAAAATATATCTTCTATTTGGCATTCTTAGAACATCTTGTGAAAACAAATAGGAACTCAAAAGTGCGCTTAAAAGAAGAAAGTGCTCTATAATTTCTTGTTTTACTGCACTTTGAGGGCTGCTAGGTTGAGCAGCCCTCCAACTCGTAATTCCCAATTAGAAACTCGAAGCTCCAGATAAGCATTCATCAGTCAGTGTATCTATGTCTGGAACACGTGATCCTCTGGATGACACTGAAACAGTTTAGCTCTTTCTGCTATTCTTTTCATTTTATGCATTTCTGTGCCACTTGAATGTCATTCTCTCTATAATATCTCTATAAAATCTGATTATGAAAGGCTATTTGAGTCTGAATGCTGTACTGACCTCTGCCCTGCAGGCCCATCTCTGGTAGGAATGGTGAGGAAGGACTGGTCATCTCAGAACAGTATCGCACTCTCCTGGCAGGAGGCCGATCAACCCCACGCTGCGATCCTCGACTATGAGATCAAGTACTATGAGAAGGTATACACCATAGCACCATAGTACAGATGGGTCACCATGGCAAAAAGGGGTCATGGTAGCACAAAATTGGTTCTGGGTTATCATAGAATGAAAATATCACTGTATCACCATTATACAAAGGGCTCCTGTAGTTGACCACCACAATGCAAAAGTGTCATTTACATGTAGTTTACCATAGATCAAAAGGGTCATCATAGAACAAAACTGTCACCACAGTGAAAAAGGGTCAGCATAGTACAAAAGGGTCATCATAGTAGATACTACATTGTACCAAAAGGGACACCATAGTACAAAAGGGTCACCATAGTCCAACAAGGTCACAAAAGGGCAATTGTAGTACAAAACAGTAACCATAATAAATGGTAATCATCTTTCAAAAATCATATTACATAGAGCAAAAAGGTTATTGTACACCAAAGAATCACCATAAAACAAAAAGAGTTACTGTAGTTTTAAAGGACCACTTCAATAATAAGGGTATAATATACAGTGGAAATCATAAGTTTACATAAACTTCGGTTGAAGTCATTAAAACTTTTAGTCATTAAAAGTTTTATCAAGTTGTAGTTTTAGCAAGTTGTTTAGGAAATCTAATTTGTACATGACACAAGCATTTTTCCAGTAAATATTTATAATATTTACAGACTTACAATATTTACAGACTATTTCACTTGTAATTCACTGTATCAAAATTCCAGTGGGTCAGAGGTTAACATACTCAAAGTTGACTGTGACTTTCAATAGCTTGGAAAATTCCAGAAAATTATATCTTGGCTTTAGACGCTCCTGATAGGCTGATCGACATCATTTGAGTTAAGCGGAGGTGTTCCTGTGGCAGTATTTTAGGGACTACCATCAAGGCCTACTTGCCTTCAAGTACTTGCCTTTCAAAAGAAATCAGCCAAAGAATTATGGACTTCCACAAATCTTGTACATTGATGCAAAAAATACAGATCAATCCAAGAACAGCAGAAAATGACCTTGTGAAGATGCTGGAGGAAACAGCTACAAAAATATTTATATCAAAAGTAAAACACCTCCTATATCGGCATGACCTGAAAGGCTGCTTAGCAAGGAAGAAGCCACTGCTCCAAAACTGCCAAAAAGATGTCAGGTTACAGTTTGCAACTGCACATCAGGACACAGACTGTACTATTTGGAGAAATGTCCTCTGGTCTGATAAAACAAAAATGGAACCGTTTGGCCATGATGACCATCATTATGCATGGAGAAAAACAGGGGAAGCTTGCAAGCCAAAGAACACCATCCCAACCATGAAGCATGGGGGTGGTACCATCATGTTATGGGGGTGGTTTGCTGGAGGATGGACTGATGCACTTCTCAAAACAGATGGCATTATGAGGAAAATTATGTGGAGATACTGAAGCTGCATCTCAAGACATCAGCCAGAACGTTAAAGCTTGGGCGCAAATGGGTCTTCCAAATGGACAATGATCCCAAGCATAAATGGTTTAAGGACAACAAACTGAAGATAATGGAGTGGCAATCACAAAGCCCTGACCTCAATTCCATAGAAAATTTATGGGTAGAACTGAAAAAGTGTGTGCGCACAAGGACGCCTACAAACCTGAATCAGTTAAACCAGTTCTGTCAGGAGGAATGGGCCAAAATACCAGCAACTTATTGTGAGAAGCTTGTGGAAGGCTTCCTGAAACGTTTGACCTAAGTTAAACAATTTAATAGCAATGCTACCAAACACTAACCACGTGTATGTAAACTTCTGAGCCACTGAGAATATGATGAAAGAAATAAAAGCCAAACTAAATCATCGTCTCTAGTATTATTCTGACATTTTACATTCTTAATGTAAAAAATAAATTAGTGATCCTAAGTGACCCAAGAGAGGGAATGTTTACTAGGATTAAATGTTAGGAATTGTGAAAAACTGAGTTTAAATGAATGTGGCTAAGGTGCATGTAAACACCTTAAGGGCTAACTGTAGTGCAAAATGGTCATCTTAGTACTCAGAGGATCATGAATAACATGTAAATTCTCTAGTTGTTCAAATGCACCCCACTGTGCTCTCGTTCTCTCTCTCTCTCTGGGTCACTGAACTTGTTAGTAGTAGCTGAGGACACTACAGTGGCGCTCAAGTGAACATTGTTTGGATGTTCCAGACTATGATGGAGTCGCAGAGGTTAAATATACAAACTGTCTGACTAAGAAAGATTAGCCTTAAGTGAAATGGTGTATCAGTACGACTCTTTCCTCTGTACACAATGATTGAGTCTCACTTTGTGAAGTGATTGATTTTCAGTGCTTTCAGACAGTTATAATTTTTTTTTTAGAGTTGAATGGAAATGCTTCCATTAGAGCAAGAAGACTTTGACTGCTCCCAAACTTTGGAATGCCCTTTGAAAAACCAAAACATATATTTTTACCCGGGAACACCACTTGATTAATGAAACTATATATAGTGCTCCTATACATCCTTAAATGCTGAATAATCTCTGTACACTTTTTGTTTTCTTTCTGAAAGTTATATCTTGCCGTCTTTGCTATTCATATTTCTATTTTTGAAAGGGCCCATATAATGGAAAACAGAATTTTCCTTCCTTTTTGAGGTAAAAGAGTTTGTATTCTAGTATTGTTAGAGTTTAAAATGTTCCATTCACTCCCCAGTCCATACAGTTCATACATGGAAGCTAAGCTGCAAAAACTGCTTGTTTTAAAATTTAAAAAAAAATCAACCACAAAAAATACATTTACATTTATTCACCCATTTAAACTACAGCAGTTTATCCCAACCCATGAATATTGAAAGGAATGTTTTAGCCTGGACTGCTTTTGAATAAAACACAATACAAGGCAATCAATCAAAACAGAGTTCATTTAAATATATCTGTCTTAAAGGCACAGTAACAAAAACAGTCTGTTTCACTGTAAGGGATAAAGATGAGTTGACAAATAGAAGAAAAATAAATAGAAAAAAATGGACATATTTGTCCTGGAAATGTATTATTGTTTAGTGTCTGTATTGTAGTTTTATTCTTGGATATTTATGCTGTCTATTTTTGTGTCAGAGAAAGGAGCTACATAAATAAAACTTATTTTTGCTGTTATTGTTGTTGTCTTTATCTCTCTCTCTCTCTCTCTCTCTCTCTCTCTCTCTCTCAGGAGCAGGAGCAGTTGAGTTACTCCTCAACCCGTACTAAAGTTCCCAGTGCGATTGTAACAGGTCTCAAGCCTTCCACTGTTTACGTTTTCCATGTGCGTGCTCGCACTGCGGCCGGCTACAGCAGCTACAGCCCCAAGTTTGAGTTCTCCACAGGAGATGAGGGTGAGCTTATTTTTCAGTGCTTTAGGGAGCTTCTTTTATTACTGTAAACAGTGCTGTACATCAGCGTGAGTAACACTATTATTTACTGAGATATACTGTACGATGATACTCTGTGCAAAGTGATTAATCTCTCACTCTCTTTCCATCTCTGTGTCAGACTCAGAGGAGGTCTCTGATCAGGGTCAGGTGTTGGTGATTGTTACAGCAGCGGTGGGGGGCTTCTCTCTGCTCGTCATCCTCACACTCTTCCTCCTCATCACTGGCAGGTATGCAGACCAACACAGCAGACACATCTCTTTCCTTCTTTCTTTCTTTCTTTCTTTCTTTCTTTCTTTCTTTCTCACCCATCACTTATACCCTTTTAGTCTCTATATCCCTCTAATTTGTCTTATTTATTTATTTATTTATTTATTTATCTATCTATCTATCTATCTATCTATCTATCTATCTATCTATTTTCACATACACCCTTTTACTTTCTATATCCCTCTCGTTTATATCTTGAATCTCTTTTTATTTCATTTTCTTTCTTTCTTTCTTTCTTTCTTTTTTTCCATTTCCCTCCTATATTTTTTTCCTTTATTCCCTGTTTTACTCTTCTGTTCCTATTTATCTCTCTAATCCCTGTAATCTCTCTCTTTCTTTTTTCTCTCTCATTGCCTTTAAGTTTGCTTACCCCATGCATCCATGCGTTTCCTAATAGGTCCATTGGCCGTTAAGCTGTCCTTCTTATTTTCCAATTGGCTGCTCAGTGTGATTCTGCCTAATTAGTCAGAATGCACATGGTGGCATGGTGGTGGTGGTGGTGGTGGTGGTGTGTGTGTGTGTGTGTGTGTGTGCTTGGTTCAGTCAGACCTCTCAGACTGACACACTGTATCAGCATTGTGTGACACTATGGCAGCCACTGTGGTCTCAGTGTCCTCACGTCCACTCGCAGCGCTCCAGGGCTAATGGGCTCCCCGCTGTGTGTGTATGATGTGGAGACAGAGCGTGGCGGAGAAGCAGCCCGAGACAGATAACAGACCCTCGTCAACAGCTCGCAAATAAATCAAGAGGGTTCAATTGGACACAGAATAAATGATTACAGCCCTTTATGTCCATGTCCGACACAGCAGAAGTGACTTACTTGTTCATCAAAGCACTGGGAATGTACATGGTATAATGTATATTATAAGTTGTGCTGGCTTGGCTTGCTGGCAGTTTCATTCAGGTTCATGTTCATGCCACTCATTCATGCAGTGATGCTTTGCTCTGCATATAACTCAGGGAAGCTGCTTTCAGTTTCAGTACCATGACATGGAACAGCGACATGGAACCATGATGTTAGAACAGAACACTTCAGCACGATGAGCCCAATAGACTCTATCTGCAGACATGCACTCTCAGTCAGATGCACTCTCAGCCCCAGTGGCGTCACATGCACTGTTTGCCACAATGGAAGAAGTGGTTCAACCACATGTTAACATTTGACTGCTACTGCTTAACGAGTCAAGAAGAATCTTAAAACAGTATCATCGTAGTTTTCTTCTTCTATCTCAATAACCATATGATCCCTTAATCCATTTTCCATACATAACATAGCTAGAGCTCCATTTAATGTATTTTTCATGAGCTCCAGCAGTATCCTGTTAGCTTTTTCAGCTTGTGAACCTGACCTAAAATCTTATCATCGCGGTAGGTTTTATTTTGTAAATTACCATATTATTTAACTACATTTTTATCAGCATGACACAACTCACATCTATTCACTGTAATTCGTGTAGCCCAACAATGTGTAGTTCGCTCATCAAACCGACAAAACACTGTCATGGTAGAGCGTGCACTGACATCATTAATAGGCTGGCGGTGCATGTCAGGCTGAGAGTGCATGTCTACAGCCAGACACTTCTCCCATCAGCAGGGACGCTGCCTCTGTAACATTAAAAAAGGACAGTTCAGCACCATGAACAGTGATGCTGGTTCTTTATTGTTAAAAATGAGCAGTTCAGCACCATAAACAGCAACCCTAGATCTGTAATGTTAAACAGGAGCAGGTCGACATCAAAAACATTGCAGAGCAGTGGTCGCCAAACCTGGTCCTGGAGATCTACCTTCCTGAAGAGTGTAGTCCCAACCATAATCTGCCATACCTGCTCCAGCTAATTAACATCTTCAGAAGTCCTTGATTGGCTGGATCAAATACGTCATCGTTAGGTAAGGGTAAGGAGGAAGAGGAGGCAAATTGGACCTAAACTCTGCAAGAAAATAGATCTCCAGGAGGAGGGTTGGTGACCACTGGCTCAGAGTAATCAAAAACAGCTTATACAGTTTGTCACTGGGGATGCACCAGTATTACATTTCTGGGCTGATAATGATAACCATTAATTAATTACTTGTTGTGGCTGATACCAATGTCAATAACCAATATATCAGACTTTCCCATTTAATACATCTAGCAAATAAAATATATAGAGAGACCCCTGATCTATCATGCTCTCATTGTTGTCAGATGAATATTCTTTGGATTTATGCCCGGGATGCCTTTTTCATCTGTATCTCGACCATCAGATTTGGTGTGTTTTATATGACACTCTTTGCGTTATTACTAACGGCAGTATTTTTCTCTCAGGTGTCAGTGGTATATTAAGTCCAAGTTGAAATCAGAGGACAAGAGAAGGACGCAATATCAGAATGGACATGGTACACACACACACACACACACACACACACACACACATACATACACATGTATTATTGTTATATAATGTCAGGACACGGGATCATACATCAAATGAAAAAGTGTATCACCCCCCCCCTAATTTCTTCTGTTTTTGCAAATTTGCCACAAATGCTGTTGTTTCAGATCTTCAAACAATATTTAGTGTAAGAAAAAGGCAAGCTGAGAAAGCACAAAATGCAGTTTTTAAAAGATCATTTTATTTATTGAAGGAAAAAAGTTACCCAGCACCATCTGTCCCTGTGGGAAAAAGTAATTAAGTTACACAATATTTGAGCTGAATCTGTTGAAACTTAATGTCACTTAGGTAGAACCTTTCCAGCAAAGTGACTTTAGCTAAAAGGTCTCAAAAAAATGGGAGCACTGCAAGACAAAAACCACTGCTACCCAAGAGAATAGTAAAGAAACTTTTTGGAAGACGGTGTTCTGTTACATCTGACATAAAACTAACATGCATTCCCTAATAAGAGCATCATACTAACAGTAAAACATGATGGTGGTAGAGAGCTGGTGATGGGACGCTTTGCTGCTGCAGGGCCTGGGATACTAGCTGTATTTGACAGAACCATGAATTCTGCTTTCTAACAGAAAATCCTGAAGGAAAATATTCAGTAATCAGCCCATGATCTGAAGCTCAAGTGCAACAGGGTTATGTAGTGAGACAACAATCTGAAGCACAAGAGCAAATCCCCCTCTGAATGACTCAAAAGAAACAAAATTAAGGTTTAAGGCTGCTGTGGCAAAAAAAAGTGGGGGTGGGGGGGGATACTTTTTAACGGCACTATAAATAAAAGGTGGTCTCTGACTTTTGCACAGTTCTATATATGTAATAATAATATGTCCATTATAGATTATATTTGTTTAAGTACTTATATGTAATAATGTGTCCTATACGAAATATATATAAATGTCCCATTTGTATTCCATAACCTGAGTAACTAAAAAAATATGGTTTCTCCTTTTCAGCTTTAAACAAATGAAACATGAATCTTTTGTATGAAAGCACTTTATATTTTGTTGGTCCTGATATTGTAAGTTAACTGCTTAAATGGCCAGGGCCCACAGGTAGGCCCAATGTTTTATTACACACCTCTATAGCCTAAGAATAGCTCAGCCAGTTTGCATTGAAGTCCCTGTAGTCACTGAATAATAAGCTTTAGTATGTAATAACCCTGGGATTTTAAGAGGTCAAAACTGTTTTTATTGTCCACACACACATACACACACACCCCCGCATGCTTCACACTGTTTGTTTCTCCTTGTCCTTGAGAGCTGCAGCACTAGATAGTCCTAGCACACCTGATTCAACTCATCAGCTAATTATCCAGCCCCTCAGGAGGTGCAGCAGGTGTTCATAGTGCAGGGAAGCCACTCCACTGTGCTGTGATGTGGCTTTCCAGGAGTGGAGAAAGTAAACACGACCCTGCTTTCTGCACAGTGGTAATGCAAACCAGCTAAGTAATGAGTGCTAGCCTGCTTAGCAATACTTTTTGATCTTCCTCTGTATCTTTTCTTGTTTTTCAGTGCCATTCCCAGGAATAAAGACCTATGTTGATCCGGACACTTATGAAGATCCCTCGCAGGCTGTCCATGACTTTGCCAAAGAGATTGACCCATCCCGCATCCGTATAGAGAGAGTTATTGGAGCTGGTATGAGCTCTGGGGTTTGCTTGATCTGTCTGTTTTACTGCAGCAGTCAGTGGCCACTTTATTAGAAACACCCACCCTGTATTTCCACTCACTAGTCACTTTATGACTTACACCTTATAGGTCCCACTAAGTAGGTGTACAGACTGTAGTCCATCTGATTTCATGCACAGTTTGTCAGCTGGCCCCTATACAGTTCAACAAGACCGCTGTTGACTAAATATCATCAGGGTGGAGGACTGTTCTGAACACAGCAGTGATACTGACATGGTAGTAGCATAGTAATGTGGGGCACTAGTAAAAATGTATCAGATACAGCTGTGTTGCTGGAGTTTTTGTACACAAGTTCCAAAAATATCCAGCTAAAAGCGGCTCTGTGGTCAGAAACTGACCACTGATGCAGGGCTATGGTACAGATAACTCAAATAGTGCATCAACACATAGACCACAGGCTCTAACACTACTATCCATCAGGAGCACCTACAAAGCAGGGGTTCTAATAAAGTGGCCAGTGAGCATACATTTTCGCTGTCATATGAAAACCTCATGACTCTTTTTTACATGATTTGAAAGAACAGACATTTGCTTTGTGTGAGCATGTCATAGTGAATGGACCAATAGAATAGTCCAAAGAAACTTTACAGAAATAAAATCTCATTACATTAAAGTAAAATTTCATTACATTAAAGTAAAATCTCATTACATTAAAGTAAAATTTCATTACATTAAAGTAATCTTATTACTTTAACATTATAAACATTCTGATCATTCTCCTGTAAAGTTCCTACCTAACTAGTTACTACAGGGATGTTTTCTTACAAGAGTGGCATACTTTTAAGAAGGAATGCAATAAGTTTTTTTTTTTATTATTATTATTTCTTGTGATTAGTCTTTTTAAAGGCCATTTGGACAAACACTGTAAAAGTTCCTTACTGGAATTTTTTATTGTATAAGTATTTTATGAAGCGATCACACACTTTTATTTTTTATGAAAAAACAAATTTTCCTCACTTTTTTTAATCACATAGTTTGATGTGGCATGTAAGCTTTGTTAAAGTTATGAATAGTTGCCCAGTCCATATGATCCATATATGAAAGCTAAGCTACAAAAATAGCATGTTTTGTTTTGATGTCACAAACCTCAACACATTTACATGTTGTCGCTCTCCAAAAAAAGAAACATCTCCTTTTTTATTTTTATTTTTGTACATTATTTGAACACAGGCCTTTTGACATTGTGTGAAAAGTTTATGATGAATGCATCAGTAGAAGTGCTCCAAACTTACTTGGCATTAAATCTTTTTACATTAGCTAAATGTTTTTGCCCTCTCCTGTAAAGTTACTGTTTTGGAGATGTTTGTTTGTTTGTTTGTATGTTTGTTTGGTTGGTTGGTTGGTTGGTTGGTTGGTTGGTTGGTTGGTTTTGGACAGCGACAAAATTAGCTTAATCAGCTTAATGACTCTCTCTGTTGCATCTGTAGCGTACAGTCAATTGCCACAGATAATAACTGTAATGTATTTCTGTGTAATTAAAAGAAAGAAATTAAGGACATTTGAAAGAGGAGTGACTAAAAATCAGTTATAATAGAAGGCAGTGCTGAAGTTGACTTTTCAGTGATTTTTAATTATTGTCTGCGTATGTTACAGATGCAGCAAGTAGGGATTAAGTTGAGAAGTGCTGTGATATTTCTTGAAGGCTGGTTTGTTATACAGTAAATCTTTTCAGTGGACCATGCTTCTGTAGTCATGCCACTGCCATCTAGTGACTAGAGAGTATATTTACAAGGGAGTGCACATATATCTGGTTTGCAACACTGAAGGTGTTGTGTGTGTGTGTTATAGGTGAGTTTGGGGAGGTGTGTAGTGGTCGTCTCCGAACTCCAGGGAAGAAGGAGACCCCAGTGGCCATCAAGACATTGAAGGGTGGCTACACTGAGCGGCAGAGGCGGGACTTCCTGCGAGAGGCGAGCATCATGGGACAGTTTGACAACCCTAACATCATCAGACTGGAGGGCGTGGTCACTAAGAGTAAGACAATAAGTCTACCCATCATCAAAACTCTTTTTAACTTAATCTTTACATTATTAGGGATGTATAGATGTTTGCACAGGACTGTAGCTGCAAATGTTCCCATTTGTGCAAACCAGGAAAATTTTTTATTAGTCTAGTTGTGCTATATTTTCGTCTTGTGAGATGGTCAGAACACATAAAACACTCATTTGGTTCTTTTCTTATTGATGCAACTTCTCCGCTTGTACATCCGTTTCAATTTAATGATAATCAAGTACTTAATAAAGTACAGCTTAATGAAATACAACTAAATGAATGTATTGATTAGCCAAGTTAGGAACTATAAATACTGGGCTGCAGTGACAACAGGTACGGAAATGTTAAGCTAATGCACTGAAGTTGTTGTTTTAATGTCTGTTTGCCTTTAATCTAACATTAGGGAGCTTCCAAGTAAATAATCATTTACAGCTAAGATGAGCAGCTTTAAAGGGCCTATATCATGCAATTTGCACACATACACACAAACACACACCACACATATATAGCTGCAAAAACGGCCTGTTGTCAATGCAATGTCACAAAAACCTGCATATTTACATATCTACTCAGCCTACAGCATTTTAGCCCTGCCTATTCACACTGAAGTTACAAGAAGTGTTTCAGCCTAGACTGCTTTTTGAGTAAGCCAGAATAAAAGGCATCTATTCAGAAAAGAGGCGCAGTAGCAAATCCAGCTTGTTTAATTCTGCAAAGAAGTTGAAAAAGGGTCATGTGAAAATGAGTGATGTTTTTTGTACATCACAGACCTTATAAGCCGACTTCTTTTGCCTGCATTACAGATTCCTTTCTTTTCAGGAAACTTCTTTTCAGAGATATTCTTCCACACCTCCAAAGTTCAGTCTTAAAAGTTGGTTGCATTTTCTGCTTCTCACAATCCAAGTAACCCTAAACACATTCAGTGATATTGAGTCTGGACTCAGACTCAACTGGTGGTCAGTCCATTGTTCTAAGCTGACCACCAGAACCTTCTGTTTGATTTGCAAATGTTCTTCTTTTTTGCCTATTTCTGTCTATCTCCTTTTCTCAGCAATAGCTTCTTGTCAGCTACACATCCTTTCAGACTCATAGTGTTGAGGTGTCATCTCACAGTGGAAGGATGGACAGAAACACCTGTGAATTTTCTCTGATCAGAAGCAAGAGTGGAGCTTGATCATAATGTTCTTTGAATCAATGTTTGTCCAAAAAACAAACAACTGTTTTGTCAAAGTCAGCATCTAATATGACACCTCTGATCAGGCCTAGCAAAGAAGCTGCAATAGATTGTGTTGTGAAGTTTAATAAACAGCATACATAAAAACACAAACACTCACCAGCCTCATACTCTACATTTCTACACCTCATCTCTCTCTGCTTCTCTTTCTTTTTCATCCTCAGCTCTTTCATCTCTCTTTTCTTATTCGCTCGTTCTGCAGGCCTGCCCTCAGCAGGGATTTGGCTAATCAGTCTAATGGCTCAGGCAGTTTGGGGGTAATTAGAGGAATCGGATGAGTGCTTCATAAAGAGTGGCTGAGAGGAGCTGTGGCGGTAACTATGCAGTGTGAAGCGTAGCTGATGCTGCAGGTGCTGATGCAGGTTATGAACTGAGGTGCACTGCTAGGGTGAATGGGACAGTGTTACAAACCTCAGTTCCAAAAAAGTGGGAACAGCATGTGAAATGCCAATAAAAAGCAGTAATAAGTAAATCACTCAACTATATTAAATTGAAAACGGCACAAAAATACAACGTGTCTGTGTGCGTGTTTGTGTGTGTGTGTGGGTGTGTGTGTGTGTGTGTGTGTGTGTGGGTGTATGTGTGTGTGTGCATATGAATATATGCTTATGTTCCAAATTTGATGCCTGCAACACATTATAAAACAGGACAGGAGCATGTTTATGTGGCTTTGAGGAACAGGTTGACTGATGCACAAACTTGCACATTTATTCTTAGTTTGGGGTGAAAATGAAGTGCATTAATTGTGCTCATTGTCAGCTCCCCTGGCTAATACTATGAATAAGCTTGAATGAGGGTGTTTAGAGAGGTGTTACAAAGCTTTTAAACTCTTTCTTTTCTCCACCATTAAAGTAATACTCCAGTGTCTAATCTCTATCAGTCGCATTTGTAGCATATGGCCACTTACCACTGACTGTACTATTGCCTTATATCCCTGTGCATAGAGAATAATAGAATCCTTGTTGGCTGAAAACACACTTGTGATAGTATTCATTGGGCAGCTTTGGAAGCACCTGCACACTGGATCTGTTATAAATGTGTTGTGAGTCAACAGGTTTATGTTCTATATCTCTCTTCCTCTTCATCTACACTCTAAACATTGCAGCAAATTACTGGCTACTAGGTGCTTCACTTTAACAGTAATTTACTGAACATTATTAACAGTGAAATAGGAACTGTATACTCTGACTGAACAGTCACCTGGAACACAAGATTACTGTGATGTAGCTGTATTCTGGTAACGTACTTACAGTAATTGTAATTAAAAATACAATAGTATCCTGTAATTGTATATAACAACTGTAAAAGAAATGCAGCTCAGCAGCCTGTAATTTACTTTAAATTTATATATGAAAAAAAGTTACCAGACGAATAAATCTGTTAAACAATAAAAAGGTTTGTCACTGTATATGTCCAGAATTTGTGAAATATGTATTTTTAAAATGCAAATACACATTTAACAGACATGTTGACTTTGCTTATGATTTGCACTAACATGAACAAAAACTTTTCTGTCAATATAAACAAACAAAAACATTTTTTGTCAATACTTCAGTGTTCCAGTATTTAAACAATCCAAAAAAGATAAAAATCCAGCAAAAACTTTTAAAGTGTTTAAAATACCAAAAGCTGTATCATCAGAAAAAAACAAAGATGTTTTTATGAAAATGTTTACATCTTTTTAACTCTCGTATCCCAAAACCCCATGCGGTACAGCTCAACATGACCCTTACAATAATTTGCTGTGATATTACAATAAATATCTTAAGATAAAATATGTTGGTTTCAGAATTGTATTGTATTGCAATAATTAACAGTGTAACTCTATTTTAGTCCATCCTCACTTGAATGTAGCTTCGCCTTCTTCTTGTGTTAGATATATTAAAGGCTGTCCTGTGTGTGTGTGCAGGTCGTCCAGTGATGATAGTAGTGGAGTATATGGAGAATGGATCTTTGGACTCATTCCTGAGGGTAAGGCCATTTCCTTAAATGGCAAGACATACTTCATCCATGCTAACATGAATGCCAGTTAGCATTCCTACACTGGCCCTACTAGTCAACAATTGCCCATGCTAAAAATGATGTGCTTGCTCCACATTTTCAGAACAAGCGCTATTACTCTTAAAATGCTGGCCTAACATAAAGGACTACTCCAAGCATGAGAAAGTCTTTAAAATTACAGCACTGATAATAAATATAAAACTACTGTTATCTAGCATAAAAGACTGCAAATCAATTATACTGTAACAAAATCTTGTATCTCAGAAACAGTAACTTTACAGGAGAAAGAAAAATCATCAGCTTAGTTTTAATGTACATTAATGTTACAAGATTTTAGTCTGATTAATTTAGTCTGAGTGTATTTTTATATTTATATATATATTTTTATTTGATAGTATATTTTTTATTTTCCTCGTTTTTACTATTTTCAGTTTACTATAATGGTGTATATTTCTATCTTTTCTACTTATTTTTCTCTTTTTTTAATCTTTGTATTATTATTATTTTATTTCCATCACTAAATTATGTTCCTTTTTTTCTGTGTTTTCTTTATAATGGCAATCTATGCAGTACTCTGAGATGAGTACAGACAACATGTATTATTTTTAGTGATGAAAATAAATTATCAGCTACATTAAGTGGGGCAGATCTGTGGGCATTTCCCAATTTAATAACCACTTGATGATGGGCTTGATTACATAGCCGTGAATAGGACAAACACTTAGGGGGGCTTAAGTGCCTCTATTATATATACTGAAAAAAGGGATTTGTTTAATTGACTTGATTCAAATGAGTAAAATATAAATACATGATGTACATAAATACATAGGAATATATGTGGAAATGATGTACACGTTTATACCAAGTCAATTCAGTGCATTACATTTGTCAGTGTAGTGTATAGCAACAGTAATCCACTTGTGCAAGGATGAAGTCTCACTTGACTGAATGTAGCTTCCATTCTCTTTCTCTCTCTCTCTCTCTCTCTCTTTCTCTCTCTCACAGAAGCACGATGGGCACTTCACCGTCATCCAGCTGGTTGGAATGCTGCGCGGCATCGCCTCTGGTATGATGTACCTGTCCGACATCGGCTACGTCCACCGGGACCTGGCAGCCCGGAACATTCTGGTGGATGACAACCTGGTGTGTAAGGTGTCGGACTTCGGCCTGTCCAGGGTGCTGGAGGACGACCCGGAGGCAGCCTACACCACCACGGTGAGACACACACACACACACACGTACACACATTCCTACTACTGAATTTCAATATCTGAGAAACCTAATAAGGCTTCTCATGGAGAGTGACATAACCAAGAAGGTTTTGGTACTGTTTCACTAAAACATGGAGTTTATTTGATATTAATCATTCCTCACTCATAGCTCATTAAAACATTTACATGCATTCTGTTAAAAGAGCAGGTCCTAAACGTCCAATCCCTGACACTTTTAAGTTGAAGCCACTTTTATTTGATTAAATTATATTATTTTATTTTATATCACTTTAGAATAAAAAATAATTTGAATAAAACATATTGTTGTAGATATAATCAGATACAGAAAACATTTTTGTCATTTCCTGATGTGAGAACAGAAAAAAAGCTGAAAAGGCAGACTAGACTGTGTTGATATAGAATGTAATGCATTTCATTGAATAACTATGTAATGAATTTTGTAGATTTATATTTACGCAGTGTGTGAAATATCCCCTGGTATTCGGGGGGGCCTATGTTGGCTGGCTGCTATCTCACTCACCATAGTAGCACTAATGCCAGCTTCAATGCCAACAAAATGTTTGAAACGCTCTTTTCTAGTTGCGTTACTTTTCTTAAGTGAGTGTCATTTGTGTCAGGAAGTTCTGAGTGTTCGGCTGGTGTGGAAGAGAGTTGGCTCTGGGTCTGGCATGTCGAAAGACTGTGATAGTTTTCTCTGAAGGTGGACAGTGTAATTAAAATGTGATGAGCTGGTGGAGAGTGCTAGAAACAGAATATACTGAACCTTTTCTTAATGCTATCTGTGAGAAACTCAGCAAGCTAACACAATCCACTCCTGTTCGATTCTAGGAAAAGTAGTGAATTTTGAGTAAATTGGATCTTCTTTTATGACTAGATAGACTGGCAGTCTTAGCAACTGGGTAGTTTTACAGTGATTTTATGACACATGAGCTGAATTATAAGAGGAAAAGAGTCAAAGAGAACAAGATAAAAAGTGATGTACTGAACTGACTTGATTAAAATCTGTCCATCATTTCCACATGAATAAAATATATTACATCTACAGAACTTTGTCTTTTGGCAATGTATTTACTTTTGGCAATAATTGTGTTGATGTAATATTTTGTATTCATGTGGAAATTATGTATGTATAATGTGTTTTTCAGGGAGGGAAGATCCCCATTCGTTGGACGGCTCCAGAGGCCATCCAGTACAGAAAGTTCTCCTCTGCCAGCGACGTCTGGAGCTACGGCATCGTCATGTGGGAAGTGATGTCTTATGGAGAGCGGCCATACTGGGAAATGTCTAATCAGGATGTGAGCTCCTCTCCCCTTTCAAAAGCCTATTCATTTTGTGACCTACTTTTTTCTTCTTTACTTTGGGTAAAAAAAAATGAACACTTCTTGAGACATCTTGAGTAGAGACATCTCTGTTACTAATGTGATTTCTCTATACTCATGCATGCGCATTACTTTCTTGATATGTAAAAGACATGATCTAACATAGCTGAAAATTCATGGATTTGTATGTTGTTTCTTACAAAGTACCATTCAGAGCAACAAAGCATACGAATCAGAATATCCAGTCATATGCAAAAGTTTTGGTGCCCCTGGTCAAATTATGTTTTGTTGATTTTCTGAAAAGAAATGAACACATCCTCAACAGAGAACAAACGTCTGCACATTTAGTGCACAATTACAGTTTTTGGCTGAATTTAACATACTGGGAAATAAAACAAACAAACAAAAAAACCTGAAAATGCGATATTTTATATTCTATGTTTTATCCTTATTTTATATGTTAAACTCAGAAAATCAATAGAAATTGTGAACTATATAAGTATATGTAACTATATATAAGTGTGTTTGTTGTAAAGGACGTGTTCATTTTTTTTTCACTTTCAACAACACATTTAATTTGACCAGGGGTGCCCAAACTTTTACCTATGACTACATTTCACACTTCAGTCACCTTTTATAGGTACTCTGATTAAAAGAATCAATTAGAAGTGTTAACATAGCGATGTGAATTCTGTTCTTAATGTGTGCGCGTATTATCACAGTGCTTCCAACAATAAAGGCAGGAGGGAGCTTCTTTTAGAAAACGCAGTAGTGCACAGAAAGCTCCAATTCCACACACTGATCCATTTGAAGTAATTTAGGGAAATTAGACAGATTCTTTAACCCATATATATCATCCAGTTAAATCATGCACAGATTACATTACCAGATCTCCTCTGTTAAAACCAATCCAGCTCAAATAGGGCTAAAGGCAAAATGCCTAAACATATTGCAGATGGTATATTCAGTAAGAAGGGGTCTGTAGAATGCATGTTTGTCTATACTGGTACTTACACTGAAAAAAGGTATTAAATTGACTTGATACAAACGTGCACATAATTTCAAAGTAAATAATACAAAATTTCTTTCAATCAAATGACATACGTTCATGAAGTAAATTCAGTGTACTTTTTTATTCACTGTAGTAAATGAAATGGGTAAAAATCTTTTTATGTTACTATGAGGTTTAAAATAGATAAATAACAGTCCAGTTTAAATGTCCAGTTTAACACAGACATGTTCAGTGTTGTAAGTTGCTGATTATTTTAGATATACACTTGCATTTCTGAAAGATCTATTAAACATCTTATACTTACGTTCCATTTCCCATAGTAACACATCACCAATATTTTAGGGGCCCTTTTCATATAAAATAAAAAGTTTCTTTCTTTTTTGAAGTACGGCAGTTTGATATTCAGTGTAAACACTCACACTGTTTCAAAACATACCGTTTACACACCAGTCCATGCAGTTCATGTAACAGTCATGAACATATTTACATATCACCACCCATTCATCCTACATCAGATTAGACCTGGCCATTCATGCAGGCAAGAGTTATAGGAGTGGAGTAGTATAAGATTAATACATTTGTCAAGAATAACATATGGTACTACAATACAATATAAGGAATACAAGAAAAATGCAGAATACTGGCACTTTAAAAACTTGGTCTGAGATCTCTTTGCTTAAATGTGCTCCAACATGGTTCCATGTAGGTTATCCTGTCCATTGAGGAGGGCTACCGGCTGCCAGCCCCCATGGGCTGCCCCGTGGCTCTGCACCAGCTGATGCTGCACTGCTGGCAGAAGGAACGCAGCCAGCGGCCGCGTTTCCATGATGTGGTCAGCTTCCTGGACAAGCTCATCCGTAACCCCAGCAGCCTGCTCACACTGGTGGAGGACGTGCACAGGTAGAGCTCCATCAACTACACTTTACCCTGCTCCATATTGCTCTTACTGTTCTTCATTACCTTACTATTATTATTATAAGCTTTTTTTGTACAAATTTTTTTCAAGCTAGTACCACAAAACTCAGGATCAAGACAGCCTAGCATCACTTTAGCAACCATGTGGAATACCATAGCAATGGCCTAGCAACACCTTAGCAACCAACCAGGATACCATAGCAACGGCCTACCAACACCTTAGCAACCACTTGGCATACCATAGCAATGGCCTAGCAACATCTTAGTAACCACCTGGGATAACATACCAATAGTCTAGCCACACCTTAGCAATCACCTGGGATTTCATAGTAATGACCTAGCAACGCCTTAGCAACTACCTGCAGTACCATAGCAATGGCTTAGCAACACTTTAGCAACCACCTAGGATAGCGTAGCAATGGATTAGCAATGCCTAGCTGTTTGGTTTGGTTGGTGAGAGTACTGCTTACATACACACCACTCAAGATTAACACTGTCCAGTTTACATCAAGAGAGGAGGATGTTAGTAAAACCATCATTTTTCAGACACTGGAAAGTTATTCACAGGACATATATTTTGTGTGCCCACAAGAGCAAGTTTAACCAACCTAGAAAGAAACATGAATTTAAGTTTCCTGGGACTTTAGAGTTAAGCATGAGGCCTATTCACACAGCAGAGTCTTCTGCCTTAGTGGAGCTTTAGTGGGTTCTGTGGGTGCCGTACACCCATCACCAACAAGAGAGACAAGCCTTTACAGCAGGGGTTTTCAACCTGTGTGCTGCTGGGTACTGCTTACTTGAGGCTAGAATTAGCATGTTTTTACATTTAATAAAGGTCTTATAAACAATTTACGGCCATTTTTTTCATCAAATTGCTCCTTGAAAGTAGAGACAGCAGCGGACAGGTAACTCCACTGCACTACTCTGTGTAAGCTAAGCAGTCTTTTTTGTGGAATCATAAAGCCCATTTTAGGCACCATCAAAACATGTCTGACACATAAGTCAGACATAATGTCTGAGAATGGGAAAGCAAGCTATAGCTAACTAGCACTTAACCTTACACACTCATAGAAGGAGTGCTGCTGGTTTGTTGTTGGATAGTGACCAAAAATAGGAGATTTTAAAAAGGGGCTGGCAACTCGCAGCAGAACAAGGGAGTCATCGAATTAACCAAGAGCAAGGGCAAGCTAATCAGATGATTGCTGGCTTGCTAACATATCTATTAAATGTACTTTTTCCACAGTGACTATTATCATTGCATGATAGCTCACAATTAAATGTGCCAATTAAAAGTTTTATGTGTTGATACTGCAGGTTTTATATCATTCCTGTAGCTTGCACCCATGTACTGAGAAAGCAAGCTGTGCCTCTGGTTCTCTGCAATTATTACTGACAAATATAGCTGTTGACATTGATGTTCAATTCAGGCAGGGCTACAATTTTGATGAAACTGTGACCGCAGAAGCCTGATATTATAGTGTAACATCTACTTACGGAGCTTTATTCTGATTTATTCTGACTAATAAGCATCATGTGTCACTAAAATTTGCAATTTCGAGAATGTCACTAGAAATTACTGAGATCAGAGGATTTAACTGTCAGCTTGGAATGTCAGTAATAACTACTGGTGTCAGTAATAATTCCAGAAGATAGCAGTAATATAATTTGGACCTAACAGGCTCAGGTGGCCTGTAGGGTCTTTTCAGATTATGCATTTTATGTACTTATCTCTATTTGGCAGATTGCAGACTTCTATATGTATGTGTACAGTAATGTGCAAAAGTCAGAAACCACCCTTCATTTATGTCCTGTCAAAATGGCCATTAAATACAAATTCATTTTTCAAAGTCAGATAAAAAAGGCAGAAAGCATGTATTTAACAGACAATGACACAAAGACTTAAATTAAAACAATTACATTGTTTTAAATTAAAACAATTAAATAGAACCTTTTTTCAGTGTTTAGTGTGTGTTTAGAGACTGGCTTTCTGTTTTTTAAAGAAATCTGCAGGGATATTTTTCCACACCTCCAAAGTTCAGTCTTAGAAGTTGGTTGCATTTTCTGCTTTCTCCAATCCAAATAATCCCAAACATATTCAGTGATGTTGAGGTCTGGACTCTGGGGTGGTCAGTCCATTGTTCTGAGAACACAGCAGCTTCTTTGTTTGATTTACAAACTTTTTTCTTTTTTGTCTATTTTCTTTTCTCAGTAAAAGCTACTTGTCAGCTACTCATACTTTCAGACTCATAGTGTTGAGTTGTCTTTTCACAGACTTGCATGTTGAGTTCACTAGAGTTTCTTTTCTAGAAAAGTATTTTGGACTTCATTGTTTCAGGTTTATTATATCTTACGGAGTTCTTATACACTGAAAGAAATGGTTGAAATGAGTCAAGTCGTTGCACACAAACAAAATACAATACGATAACACAATTTCCTTAGGTTTACTTGTTTTGGCAATAATTGTGTAAAATATATGTATTATGTTCATATTCATTTGCAACTACTTGACTCATTTTTCAACCTGAAAGTGTCAACCTGAAATTAAAATTGTCCTTTTTTGACCTTGTTAGTTCATGTCTCTGGTTATCCCCCCTCTTCTAGCACTCCCACTAATACTCATCTAGCTCAGAGAGTCTCCCTAATACTGTTTTTCAGTAGGAAATGTGTCACAGTACAGAAGGAAAATGTATTATGATTTCTGATTCATGTTGACTTTGAGGGGTTAATCCTTTGTTTGCTGCTTAATTGAAACGCTGTCATATTTGTCCTCTGTGTCTGCACAGTTTACCAGAATCTCCAGAAGACATGCCTGATTACCCTCTCTTCATCTCCATCGGTGACTGGCTTGACTCCATTAAGATGAGTCAGTACAAGAACAACTTCATCGCAGCAGGGTACACCACCCTGGACTCCATCTCCAGCATGAGTATTGAGTGAGTGATAAACTGCAGTGATCTTTGTTAATAGCCAAAATATACAACCTTAGAAAAGAAAACTTAAAGGGGAATTACAAATTTTTTATTCTGCATTATTCAATCATTGAAATGCAAACAAAGTTATCAGTGTTTTGACATGAAATGGTTAATTGAAGAGAAACTTACTGATTCAAACTTCTTTACAGTGGTGGTGATAGGAACCAGGAATCATAATGTCTACAGTGCATCTATAGCCAGTTTTTATGTGTAATTGTGTTTTTATATGTAATGTTCCTCTCTAACATTAATGTATTTTGTGAGTTTTAGGCCAAAACTATCACAAAACAATGTCTCAGGCATTAGGCAGTGTATTCATAGCTGTTTCATGTAATAACTGCGTTTTAGAGGCATTTAACTCTTCAGGGATCTGGTTCTTATCACTACCACTGTGAACAGTTCTGAATCTTAAGTTTTTCCAGAATGGTGCACTTCACATTGAACTACTTTAAATGACTTTGTATACCTTATCTTATCTTAACCAATTAATAATGCAGAAATTTTGGGGGAACTCCCATTTAAAGGGCCCATGTAATCCAGACGTTCCCTACGGTTTAAATAAACGTTTGCTGCAGTACACACTTTAAAAAGATGGTTCTTCATAGATTCTTTAGTAAAGAAAATGGTTCTATATAGAACTCTTTGCATGATTAAAGGGCTCTTTGCATGGTGAAAGAGTTCTTCAGATGAATGGAGAATGTGCTGTATATGGTTGTATTTAGAACCTTTTTATAAGTTATATGTTCTGTCAAACACCAAAAGGAGTTCTGCTATTGTTACAAGCTTGACCTCATAATAATAGCAGAACTTTTTTCAAAAAGGTTCTATATAGAGCAAAATATAGCACATTCTCCATCAATCTGAAGAACATTTCTACCATACTAAGAACCCTTTAATCATGCAAAGGGTTCTTTGAGTGTTCATGGTTGTATACAGAACCATTTCATTCACCAAAGAACCTTAGAAGAACCATCTTTTTAAAGAGTGTATGTACCACTTCATACTATCACCAGTGTCAAAGTTTTAATCAATTGTGAGTGCTGGTAATGTTCTATCTACCTTCTTCTTAGCTTGATATTCTGTCTCCTCCACAGCGATGTCAGGAGGATTGGTGTGTCCCTAATTGGCCACCAGAGGAGGATAGTGAGCAGCATACAGACGCTACGACTGCAGCTCCTCCACGTTCAACAGAGTGGCTTCCATGTATGAGACGGACCAGTGAACACTCACACACACACTTATACACGCACATACATACACACAGACACACACCCACACACATACACATGCACATAGTCAGGCCTGATCTGTCTTACCAACCACACTCAGAGAACTGCAATGCTTTGGCTTTTTCTCAAGACTTCTCAACTGGCCTTTGAGGACTTCCAATAAACAATACAAACCAGGAGAAACGGCCAGACCGAAAGAAGATTCTGAATGTCATTGGTTATTTGTCTTCGTGCTGAGCAAAACAGTTGAAGATGGACAGCCAATCAGGGTTCAGCGAGAGCACGGCACTGTCGCCATGGTGATGTCAAGTCCGTCAGTTGTCCTACGAGTTCGGTGACTGGCCGGATTCACAGTCCAAGAACTTTTAATAGTTATATTTGCTATTTTAATGTATCGAGTACGTGTCTTAAAGAGATATTTATCGTTTATTCATCATGCTACTTCCTGGAGCCTCTGAAAAAGAGAGACTGTTGAATGTCAGTGGATTTATATGGCTATTAACCCATTATTTATCACATCTGATATTTATGCTGGTATTTATATGTATGTGTATGTGATTTTTTTGTTTGTTTGTTTTATATTTATTTTTATTTATTTATTTATTTATCTGTTTTGTTTTTTTTTTTTCCTCAGCAATATGTGCGGTCTTTTCGGAACATCAGAAAAGAGCCAAGTTTGGGAGTAGAGAATTGTATCTTACTCTGTTAGAAAAAAAAACTCCATACAAAAACCATAGACCTCCTCAGGCAGTCCGCTATGCCATACAAGAACGACCTTTGACCTTTTGGAAGACTGAAAGCCATGGTCTCATGCTTCCGCATCAGGCCTGACACATCGAAACTCAAGAATTGTACGCGCTGGTCTTGACATTCGAGACTTGGACAAGTTCTGCTAGGATGCAAATGATATTTAGAATCGTTTGGTGATTTGTTGGCCGTGCGAGACACAAAAGATTGTCATAGTTTCTTAACCCATTTATGTCCATATCTCGATTTTACATTTCCTTTGGTTCATATGTCCTCTGAGCTCACCTCAGTTCAGATCTGAAGGAATTTTTTAAATCGATTAAACCATATGGGTAAAAAGTGGGTTTTATTACTTACTTTAAAAGGGCACTTTTTCAGAATTTATGCACAATTTAGTGGTGAAGATGTAAACAAAGGCATTCAGAGACTGTAGAGAAACTTACTGACTTGGATGTCTTCATAGTGAATCATTATATGCAGTGGTTGTGATGTCACAAATATACCCATTTTATTTATCACCAGTGAACCTACATGTGTCTTCAGAATTTTTATCTGTAATGCTCATGAAGGTAAAATAGTGGTAAATCTGAAAAAATACAAAGACTATTTTACCTAACAATACCCAGCATGTATGTCTCCACCATGAAAGGTAAACAATGTATATGCTTTAGGTCAAAACATTATTGTAAAGCTATCATGAAACTATGTCTCATACACCAGGCAATGTGTTCATGACAATTTTATGTGATAACTGTGTGAGGGAGCTTTGAGTGGCTCTTCAGACGTCTGGTTCCTGTCACCACCACTGTAAACAATTCTGACTCTGTATGTTTCTCTAGAGTGAAACATTTCGCAACAAACCACTCTGAATAACTTTGCTGACATCTTAATCACTGAATTACTACAGATTTTTATCAACACAACAGAATTTCAAATCTGATTGTGATTAGAAGTATGAAAATAATATGTAATAAAAAACAAACTGTTAGACATTCATTCAAGGTATAAAAATCCACGAAAAGTCTTCACTTTAGACCGATCAGAATAAGTCCTGTAGCATTCATTCCCTCATTCCTTGTACTATATTTAGCTGTTGGACATGAATGGGTTAAATAGAATACACTTGTTGAATGTAGGGTGGTGTGCAGCAGTGAAAGTTCTTGGTATCACACATATACACAACTAGCAGGTTAGTGTGCTTAACAGTTAATTAATATAATGCTCTGTGTTGCTTACTTAAAGGGCCCATATAATAAAAAACAGAATTGCCCTTGCTTTAAAAAAGGTTTGACGTAGTATGTAAACACTGTTAAAGTTTCAAAGTTTAGCATTCACTCCCTTGTCCATACAGTCCACAGTAAACTGTAAAAACCGTTCATTTTGAATTCATCTTGGTTGTGATGTCACAACCAGAAACATATTTACATACAGTACTGTGCAAATGACTGAGACTACACTTCATGTACTTAGTTTCTTGTTAATTAAGTGCAAGTTATTCCTTTTTCAGGAGATATTTCTGAGGAGATTAGATATGAGAAAATCCACCTGCACGAAGGAGAAAAAAGGAAAATGAGTGAAAAACAGAAGATTCCAAAACTGAAGTTAAAAAAGTTATTAACAGATACAGGGAAAATGGAACTCCTAACAACCATGCAAGACCTGGTAGACCACCAAAACTGTCTCTTCAGATAAACAGTGCTTAAAGCTTGAGAGAGAGGAGAAGATCAAGCTCCACTCTTACTTCAGATCTGAAAAAATGCACAGGTGTTTCTGTCCATCCTTCCACTGTGAGAAGACAATTCAACACTATGAGACTGAAAGGATGTGTAGCTGACAAGAAGCTTTTACTGAGAAAAGGAAATAGACAAAAAAGAAAAAAGTTTGCAGATCAAACAAAGAAGCTGCTAGTGTTCTGAGAACAATGGACTGACCACATCAGAGTCTAGACCTCAACATCACTGAGTGTGTTTGGGATTATTTGGATCGGAGAAAGCAGAAAGCAGAAAATGCGACAAACTTCTAGTGTGGAAAAATATCCCTGCAGATTTGTTTAAAAAACTGAAAGTGAGTCTCCTGAAAAGAACAGAAGTTGTAATAAAGGAACGTGTGAACATACTAAATACTAAAACCGTTTAATATTATATTTAATTGTTGAGACTTTTCTGATGCTGAAATATGAATAACTTGTACTTAATGGCCATTTTGACTGGAAAAAAATGAAGGGTGGTCACTGACTCTTGCAAAGTACTGTATTACTGCTTATTTAACCTACAGCAATTTAGCCCCACCCATTCATATTGAAGGTATAAGGACTGTGTCTCAGCACTGCTTTTTAAATGAGAACAGAGCTCATTTGCATATATCAGTCTTAAGGGCACAGTAACGAAACCCTTTGTAATTGTAAGGTATAAAAAGAGGTTGGCAGATGAATGATAGCTGTTTTTGAACATAAAACCACACAAACATCACAAATGAACTTCAAAGAAAATAACATACAAATAATGTAGAATATGGGCCCTTTAACATGCAGCACACATGTATACACATATATACAGCAATGTGCCACATGCAGAAGCTGTGCTCATCAGACGCCGCCTCCTGACTTGTGCTTGAACATATGTTCAGGACTCTGAGAACTCTTGTCAGAACAGACTCCTGATGCACACAGCAAGAGTGAAAGCAGAAACAGTGTGAACTCCAGCAGATGAGGGGAAACTGGGTAATCAGGTCAGTACACACTATAATGTATAGTGAATAGTAATCTAATTGTATATTATTTTTTATAATTTATAATGGATTTAAAAAGAGGTATAAGTGGATTAGGCTGGATGTTTGTAAAAAATAAAAGATAATGGATGCCTTGTGTCTTTTGTCGTCTTTGAATGAGCACATATACACGTATACAAATGAGTTATGATCACAGCTGACGCTGTTGATAATCATGAATACATGATTTACATTACAGGTCAATTGTGTGGAAGCAGTGTGTTTGGAAGCAAACGGTGAGAGCAAACAGTTTCTGGAGACCAGGAGCAACAAAAACACAGATATTTTTTGCCCAAAGATGCAAATTTCTTTGGTTTTATTTAAAATATTCTTTAGGGGTGCCAATAATTTTGCCCTATATGTTTTTGAAAGAATACACTATTCTTCAAATAAAGAAAAATCACTCTTATAGGAATGATTTCTATTAGATAAATGGTAGGCAATCCAACATTTTTGAGAAACAGTACCATATAGGTGCACTTTGTAGTTCTACAATAGTTCTACAATAACAGATAATAGTTCATCTGTGTATGCATAATTTGTTAACCCCCTTTTGCCCTGTTCTTCAGTGATCAGGATTACATTTCGCCAGCAGATGTTGGAAATTCAGTGGTGTGAATATAACAAAAATTAATAATAAAATGTTATTTGTACTAATAAAAAAATGATTAAAAACAACTTCCTTGTGAAAACAAATCATACTAGTAATGTTCCCTTCTTAAAAATGAATTGTAAAGAGGCATGAATTGTTCATAATGATAACTGATATTCTAACATTTAGAATTCTTTTATTTTTTTACATATTTATAAATTCTGGTGGCACTACTGACATCTGATCTGCTTTAAACTGAATGTGTTGTTTAAACTGTGTTTGTGATGCAGTGATTTACTGTATGAAGACAAGCTGTTTGACCACAGGACGGCGCTCTTCAGCAGCAGCGCCGGTTTCTAAGCAACACCGTGTAAATATCTCACCTCGCAGCAGCTCCGTCAAAGCTCCACACAGATTAGCCGCCTTCGTTCAAATGTGCGTCTCATAAATAACATGTCGTTGTCTTTGCCATGCGATTTTACTGTCTAGGCTGGAGATAGTAGAGCTCGGACGCTGACGGGAGCTGTGCTGCACCGAGACAGCCGAGACGGTACTGAGAGGTAAGCTTTCTTTTAGCGTACTAGCCGAGTTAGCTGGATGGCTAAACAGCTAACAGCTAACCCAACACACAGCTCGGTGAAATGATAGCTGTGGGAAGCTGTCGTGATAGTAGCGGTATAATATTATTACAGGGCTGTGCGTAGCTACTTTAAACCGCCCGACAGAGGTAGAAAAGTGCAGTAAAGTCCCGGAATGCCCCCGCCTGGTGTACAGCGGGTGAGAAACGATGTAGTGCGGGTTATGCAAGGAGAGCAGGCAGCTAACTAACTAAAGTGGCTCAGCGGATTAAGACTGATAGCCGGCTAATAGCTGATAGCTGCGTCTCTGCGATTATCTCTTGGAAAAAAACGCGCTTTCGTACTATTTTCCTTACAGCTACGCTAATTAATGTTCAGCAGCCGTGATACGAGATGTAGAAGATGTGTATAAACGCGCTTTTGGATGCTTCGAGGTAGCGTTAGCAGGTTTAAAGGGCCACGAAGTTGCTATTGAGCTAAAGTTAATACTCAACATTAGAGCTGCAGACTGCTAATTTAATTAACCTACCTAGAGTAACGGAACTTACTATCAACAAGGCTGCAGCGCCAGCTCTCCTGTTAGCCCTGTGCTTTATGAAAGGTGCACTGCGTGTCCAAAAGTTTGTAGACACCTGCTCATCCAGCGTTTCCTCTGAAATCAGAGGTATTAATTGGAAGTTTGCCCACCCCTTTGGTGCAGTTACAGCATCTGCTCATCTGAGAAGGGTTGCTGTGAGGACTTGAATGCACACAGCCATAAGAGTGCACCCCAGCTCATCCCAAAGGTATCGGATGGAGCTCCGTCTCTCCAGAGAATGCAGTTTCAGTGCTCCACAGCCCAGTACTGGGGGTAGCTGACTCTCGGCATTGGGCATGGTGATCTTAGGCTCATGTGTAGCTGCTCCAGAGCATCCCATTCTGTTTGGTCAGTGGTTTTCTATGGAGATTATACAAGCTATGTATGTACGCAGTTGTGTCAGCAGTTAGTGCTCATTAAAGTTGTTGCACTCATTAGAAGAGGTGTCTGACTGCTTTTGAACACACAGTGTATTTCCATTAGTGTCTTCACGTGTCAGTCATGACTGTATATTTTGTTTTGGTGTTTGGCATTTCACTGTATTTTTTGGAAATATGTTACGAGGTCCAAAAGTGCACAGAAGCAATGTTTGTAAATGGGTTTTGGTCAGTTAAAGATACAGAGCAGCATCAAAACATTTTTTATCATTCCCATAATTCATATTAAACATCGATTTGTAAGACTGGAATTATTTGTTTTTACCAGCTTCTGGGTATCCAAACAGATATAACCCTTGTGGTGCTTTCACACTGGATGAACATAGGGAAAAGAGCCAAAAAGCTTCCAAAAAGCTTATTTCTTCCAGTACAATGAATCCAAACTGCTCTCTCTGATGGACTGTGACTAAGGATACAATCGTTTATATCAGAGACGGCATATTAGTGAAGATCTCAAATAATTACATTGTCTTTTATTTTATGAAATAATATGAATGAACTGAATATATTAAATTTGTTATTCATAAAGTGTATAAATGTATATTTAGGTGTGTTAATGGTTTTATTGATGGCTACAGCCAATGTAGAGTGCATCTTGTACCTTTGTCTTGATATGATATAGACGATCTGCCTTCAATCTAGTCCAGTTATTTGTAGTGTTTTGTTCTTTTGCCTAGATTTCTTATTTGGGTCCCTTATTTAGACAAACTCTCTTTGTGGGTGTGTCTGTTAATCAGCTGTGTAGGTAACTTGATTGTCACCTGTTGGCCAAAAAGCTCTTTGTTTGAGAAATTGTACCCTGATGAAGGCAAATAGCTGCTTTGCTTGGGTAGCTTTTCCCTTTTGCCCTAGCCTTTTAAAAACACTTTTACATAGATTTGGCCTGGAAACAAAGGCAATTTTAATCTGTAGTCATTACATGTGAAGTCAACTTTTTAATATAAATAATATTGGGATATCCGAACAGCACCTTACTGATACTCCATGATATACCTGGAATAAGCTACTTGAGTATATCAATAAACTCTTATGTAACATTGTCACACATGTGTATGTGTTTTGTGCAGCACAAATTAGAGATGTACATAAACACAGATGATTGCATTTCATTAAGGCCTGCAACAGGTACATGCTGTCATAAGACTGGTGAACTCTGGCTGTCATGAGAGCAATAAAGCAAGCTCTTGTTGGTTGTCTAGTTGGTTGTCTAGGTGGTCATTGCCAGTGCCACACACCTTTAATGAAGTGTTTATGGATCTTAAATAGATGTTACACTGGTTTCATTTGACTGAGTCTTCTTGGCTTTGGACTGTTTGCTTTGAACAGTGTGGCTCCATTCATAAAGGCCAAATGGGGCTCTTCGACAAGCTGGCCGGATGGCTGGGCTTGAAAAAGAAAGAAGTGAACGTTCTGTGCCTGGGGCTGGACAACAGCGGGAAAACCACCATCATCAACCAGCTGAAGCCCACTAATGTGAGTATTACTCTCTCACTTTAGCCAATGATGACCCTAGAACTTCACATTAATCTGTTATTGTACTAACATATCACTGCTGTCAGAAGAAAACCTCCAAAATAGTAACTTTACAGGAGAAGGAAAAACCTACTTTATTGTTAATATAATTTTTCCAAGTCATTTTGGGCCGTTTCTTTTTGTCTGTTCTTCATGAAATTTACACACAATGTAAAGAGCAACAGATATTTTTCAAATTATGTCAAAAACTGAAAAACAACAAAAAATGGAGATACAAGGTTTTCTTCTGACAACAGCAATATCTTTATCACTTAGTAAATGCCTTCACTCATTTAAATTGCCTTAAATTATGCTGTCATTAGTAGGCATTACAGAATTAATTAAAGCTGTACTTTTCCATGAATATTTGAGTCAAGATTTTTTCTACTTAGTCGCTATATGCTACATTTATATAATGCAGTCGATTGCCGCAGACAATAATTTTGATATGTTTCATTGTACCTAGAAAAGAACAAAAACCTGCTGACACAAAACACCCTTATAAACACAATAAGCTAATGGACAGGTGCTGAATTTGTAGTAAATGTTTATGTGTAACACATATTTTTGTTAATGTTCTCATCAAATTAAGCTGTAAATCTGCAAGTCGTGTCTCAGTGAGAAGAATGTATGAGTTACGAGTTGTTACAAGTGCTGTGGGTCGAGTTTTCACAGGCTTTTTGTGATCAGCATGGATACCACAAAACCCCAGGGAAAGTGAAAATTGGATAAAACTTTGTAAGAACAACTTGGTATAAAGTCACAGAAAAAGTGTTGAAATTATTGTCTTTATTATTATTATTATTATTATTATTATTATTATTATTGACAGTATGATACAGATTCAGCAGGCAGACAAGTTGAAAAAATGCTAGAATATTCCTTTAACAAATCAGGTCTTGCATCTTAGATTTTTCACAGACAGTATACACCTTATTTAATAGGGCGTTGTTCAAAAAAATAGGTAACATAAGCTCGCTTGTCAAAATGGTCAACATTTTAATGGTCTTCTTACAGGCTCAGGCCCAAGACATTGTACCCACCATAGGCTTTAGCATAGAGAAATTCAAGACATCAAGGTAAGGATCAATATTGTACTTATTTCCTGAAGAGGCTACACGCTTGTCTTGTTATTGACCACATGGTTCTTTTTATAGTCTGTCGTTCACAGTCTTCGACATGTCAGGCCAGGGCAGATACAGAAACCTGTGGGAGCACTATTACAAGTAAGTGAAACCTCTTTTCTGTCAGAGGCCAAAACACTGCATAAAAATATATTGATGTTACAATACAGTACATCTACAAAAACATAAGTAGTTGTAGATGTCAAGAAGCTTTTCCCTAAAAGTAAATGTATTGTATAGTTATGCACCTGTCGCTATCCGGTGGTCCGGTGGACTTCACACCTTGCACTTTTTTAGTATTTTCTCTAACCTAAATAGTCCGAACTGCAATTGAAAACCACAGTGCTAACTGTCATTGAAATCCGATGTATTGTGATTGTTTTCACATTTTTCTTCTTGTCTCTGTTTGTCCAGGGAGGGTCAGGCCATCATATTTGTTATTGACAGCAGTGATAAGCTGAGAATGGTGGTGGCCAAAGAAGAGTTGGACACCCTCTTAAACCATCCTGGTAAGTGTCTGCTTTTACCGTTGACTGGTTCCTGGAATTTGAATTGGCCTTAAAAATCGGATTTTAAAAAGCGTTTCAGGTAAAAAGAAAACAAACCTATGAGCTCTATTAAAACAAACATTGAAAAAATTCTTAGTTTTTTCTTTAGTAGGCTAATAAGTTATTTGTCTTGTAGCCTATAAATAACTGGTTCAAAAATGTAAAAAAAAAAACCATTCAAAACTTTTGTGTAAAGTCAGCATATTCAAGAAGTTTTTTTAAAAACCGTATTTTTTTAAATACCGTTTATTTTATCATGAGGGTCTTAAGCTGGTCCTACGCTACACGATTTTTTGTCTGAAGAGATGTGCATGCACACCTTCTGAACAGCGGAGCACAGAGACAGAGGAGCTGCATTTAAAACAGGCAAATAAGAGCCGTTATCATGTTTATAAGGTATGGATCCAGAGGTCAAGTCACTCTCTTCAATTTCAAGTCAGCTGCCAGTTTGTAGATTTCTTCAGCTCTCACTGTAATATCAGCATTTCTCAACCCCATTTTAATCCTCAGTTTGTGCTTTCACTACGCATTAAAGCACAATCAGGTCCGGTTCAGTAAGTTTAGCTTAGACGTTACGTTTGTGATGCTCTCAGTTTTAGAAATCTGTTAAGATTTTAAGTCGTGTAGTGTACACCCAGCCTTATAGTCTGACCGTATAGTTTCTTTCAGTTTGAACCCATCCCTTATGTGTGCAGATATCAAGCATAGGAGGATCCCCATTCTGTTCTTCGCTAATAAGATGGACCTAAGGGACGCACTGTCATCAGTGAAGGTCTCTCAGCTCCTCTGCCTGGAGAACATCAAGGACAAACCCTGGCATATCTGGTAAGACAACACATGGGATTTTGGTTTTATTTGAAATTTAGCAGCAGTGGTTAATTTCTTAGTTTGTTAACAATTAATTTAACAAACTAATTTAACAAACTAAGAATAAACACAAGAGACAGGTTCTCAACATGTGTTTTTTCTGCCTGCAGTGCAGGACACTAAAGCTTTAGCTGTAAGTGCCCTGACCAAATGTGTCTGGGTGTTTTTCAGTGCCAGTAATGCTGTCCAGGGCGAGGGTCTGCAGGAGGGAGTCGACTGGCTGCAAGGTACAGATTAGTAGTATTATTTGGCTTTATTTTATTGCATCTTTATTAATTGTTCAGTTTAGGGTGGGAGGTATACAGATTTAAGTAAGAATACCAATATAAATTTAAAACATCAATAGCGCAACTAATTTTTAAAATGCTGTTAATGCTTTAGTTTGACCCTTTTCCTTGGTAGTTCTAACTGAAGCCCAGCTGTTAGCATGCTGTATGTGTGCAAGAGAGACAGAGGGCTTTAACAATGTCCTTATAAGAGCTGTCCACTCAGCATGTTGGCAACGCCCCTGGGTAGTTATTTTAACTCATACAAGACTTCCAATGCAAAATATGTTTGAAATCACTGATAAAATCTGATACAAATCACATGAATCGTTTATAGTGCATGCACAAATCTCCACAACAATGACTTTCCTGTTTGCGGCTTTGCGTTTGCGTTTTCTTGAACGGTGGGACCTGTAAACAGAATGTGGAAATTACATGATTTTCATGGTCTAGTTCATGTGAACCCCATATTCACACAATGAAAATAATGTTACTGAAATACTGAAAGTAAGAAATACATTCTGATTAAGCTTATTTACATAGCTATAATGTAAAGCATTGCTTTTTAAGATGTCAAAAATGTTAATATAAATTATCCTTCATGTCGCCTGTTCCTATGATCAGTTCTTAAATTCCCAATACTTCATTACATAAACAAATAAAGTTCCTGAATTTACTTATTTCTAGAATTAAGACAGAACTTACAAGATCAGTATACATTTTCTCCGTACAGTTTCTATTGTGACCCTCTAACAAAATCAATAATGATTACAGAAGTACTTTATCATTTGAAGCTTTCAGCTGCATGTGATTTATTTTCTGCTCTTTTTCATCCATAGAACAAATTGCACTGTAAGTATTTTAAGTTAAACCTCCCAGCGGTGGTGTAGTGAACTGTTGTGAACTATTAGTTTCTCTCTTTAATTAAGTTAATCTGTGACCTTCAGTCACTTCTGGCTGTATCCAGATTGCGGTTAAATACAAAAAACTAGAAATGTAGAATAAGCTGTAATACAGCCCAAGGTGACTGAAAGTTTTGTTCTATTTTCTACCATGCATTTAAAGATGTGTTGGAGAATAGCACATATAAATATTGTATTCTTCTACCTTGTTTTTCTACCTTTGTCCTATTCAGCAACACAGTGGCCTACTTTTAGCCCTGAATTGTCTTGCGTTAGTCAGTGTGCCCTCATCAGTTGAATCAGAGTTAGTTGTCAGTTGACGATGGAGTGATTTGCTAATACTTTGGCCTTTCTTTTCTTAACAGATCAGATCAGAACGATGAGAACGTGAAGTCATCGTAAAGTACGGAGGAAAAATGTCACATCTTGCTCATGCAATAGCAGCGAAGCTGTCCACAGACGTCAAATCAAGCCTGACCCTTGGCCTTCAATGTGTGGGCATGATGGGCCGTCTGTGGTGACCCACGCTTGGAAGCTCAGAGTTCGGTAGTGCGAGATGCTGTTTCGCTTTCATTCTGTTGCACCGCATATTGTTTTTTTCACATTCTTAGATTGTCTTTTATAATAGGCAACCAAATAAGTCAGATGTGCTTATGATAGTGTTTGTAGAATGTGATGAAATTGCAAACACTTTTATACCTCAGCTGAACAGCAGACAACATTTTTTTGATTTATGCTGATTTTACATTCATTTGGCTACCAGGCATAATGAATACAGCCCAAGAGCACTGTATGGTTTTTTTATGCTTCACAAAGCAGGATTCTTCAGTTAGCCAGATAACTTAAGCCAAACAAACCTCAGGCAACCTGATGCAGATTATCTAGCTCAGTATTTTCATTCCCACTCTTCATGATTCACTGCCCTGTGCAGCATTTTCCCAGCCATATCTTGCTAATTGTACACATTGGGAGGGTATTGCACAGGATTTTTTGGTTAGGTAGATACCTAAATGAAAAATGAGCTCTTATTTGAATGACTCTTTGTGCTTCTCCTGTCAGACAGTCTTGATTTTTGGTTTTAGTTGTCCAACTAAACGGAATATCCTGCTTTGTTAAATACCTCCCAGGGTGACACATCAATATTGTGCTAAAATCAATGGTTGCTATTTGCAGTAGTTTGTCCATTATCAAAAACATTTTCCTTCCTTTTCACTGTTTGTTCTCATTTGTGCTAGTAGGGGTTTTGGAGAAATCTAGACATGATATGTCCAAATGCAAGATTTATTTTTTTAGCTGGATAATTTAAGCCCAAAGTTGTAGGTTGTGCAATAGAAACATATGTTGGCTCTTCTCCCATTGCACAGGGCTTGTCTTTCAGCTTAAATTGTCTGGCTCTCTGTTTTGTTAAATACCCTTCACTATCTTTGTGATTAGTTTAAGAGTATTTATAGTAGTGACTTGAGGATCCTCCTCTTTGCCAGGTAGCTTGTTCTACAGGCATGTTTAGAGTATTGTCTCTAGAAGATTTCTATTGTGGTACTGTAAGTATGTGGACAATTTGACAGATGAAATATTTGCTTAAGAAACATTCCTGTGTTTTTTTTTTATTATATATCTACTTAATTTCATAATTATTACCAAAATTCTAATAATAGAATTACTGCTGAGGCAGCAACACTATTATTTTTTATTTGATTTCTTTTTCGTATTATACATGCAGACTCTGCTGTACTTTCTGTCAAAGAATGTATAGTTTTCCATTCAGTGTGTCTGTAAAACTGTCTTGTACTGGTATATTTAAAGAGTAAAAGGTCTACAAGTAAAAGAATTAGTCTCTAATTGTAATCGGTTAACCACAGAACTCCATTCAACTTAAGTGTTTTTAAGTCATTTGATAATGCATTTTATGATGAATGGACCAATAGACATTGTGAAATTTTACGGGATTTGCCAGACGCTCTTGTCCCCTTACAGTTTGATCTTTTTACGCAGGTAGGCAAAGGTAGTGTTAAGAGTTTCACCCAAGGACTCATTTTGGTATGTCGTAGGAGTGCTTGCCCAGGTTGGGAATATTTGTGAGGAAAGGTATCTACTTTGTACTGATTCCCATTTAGTTTCTAATTCGTTTTTGGGTTTAATTTCATTTTTATTGTGTTGATTTAAATTGGCTGTTTTATTATTGAGCTCACTTTGCAACTTTACTACTTTTACTAAGCTACTTTTACATCTACACTGAGGGGAAACAAGTATTCGGACACATTTGCTTTTGTTAATTAACATATTTCCAATGTACATATCCACATCAAATTTACACACATAATCCCTTTTAACTTTGACCTCATGACTATCACCAAAAAAGTATGCATCCCTGAGCACAAACAAATATATGTTTACCATGAATAACATTAGCACTTTGTTGCAAAGCAACTCTTGGCAATTACAGCTTCAGGACGTCTATGGTAAGGAGTCATTCATTTTTTCCAGCTTTGTGGTTCAATTTTGGCACATTCCTCTTGGCAAGCTCTCTTCAGTTCCCCAAGGTTACGGGAGTCCTTCTGTTGGACTTTTTTGTTGGACTCACATTTTTAAAATCCTGCATACATTTTTCAGTGAGATTTAAGTTAGGATATTGCCAGCACCTTCCTTTTTTTATTTAGAAACCAGTCTTTGGCTGTATCTTTGGTGTGGTTGTCTTGTTGAAACATTCATTTTCTCCCCTTTCTTGTCAAAGGAAACTCAATTCTCCTGTAAATTGCCTGGTACATTGTTCTATTCATGTTTGCTTCAACATCATTTAATGCTCCAGAACCGTTTTCTGAGAAACAGCCCCATATGATGTTTCCATCTCCATACTTCACTGTGGTTAAGGTGTTCTTGGGATAATGAAAACCTTTTTTTTTTCTCCAAACATGACGAGCTAAATTTTTGCCAGAGTTCTGTTTTTGTTTTGTCTAGCTAGAGTATGTTGTTCCAGAATTGTTCTGATTTGTCTAAATGTTTGCAGAGGAGTTTTGGGGGGTTGTAGGAACAGAGGCGATTGTGGTGCAGTTCATCGTTAATTGTTCTCCATGTAACTGTTTTTTCTGCTGACTGCTGGTTTTTCTCTTACCATATCATTAGTCTGAGGGATGGTACACCTATCCTGTGATGATCAGTTATGATGCCATGAACTTTCCAATTGCATATTATTGAATCAGTTGTGCTGACAGGGATGTTTAAGGTCTAATACTATGGCTCTGTAACTTTTTCTAGTGTGAGTGTTGTTTAATCTCTTGAAAACTTTTGGAATCTCCTTTATCTTCGCCATGATTGCTTCTTGTTGGGTGAAATTTTCCTAACCACGTTTTTTATAATCACACCAGGTGCAGTCTGCACACAAACATTTTTATTTTTGCAGCATTAATATGTAGATTTATTTTTAACTTTTACATGGAAGTATATTTTGATTTAATGTCCGAACACTTTTTCACCATCAATGTTGTTTCTAAACATATTTTGTATTTGCTTATGGATGTACATTTCTCATATATATGAAATAACAAACAAAACTGAATACTTGTTTCCCGTCACTGCACTTGCCGTATCAAAATTGAAAATACTAGAAAATACATACTAAGTATATTCACCCAGTTTTCAAAAATGTCCTGCTGTGAGTAACTCCTCACTCCCTGCTTCAGGGACATTGTGGGGAAAAAAGTGTCTTAGAACTTAGAATCAGCTGATTCTAAGTATACATGTTGAAGCTGTTATTTCATTGAAGTGACAATACTTTTACTTGACTAAGGGTTTACTGTACCCAAAAACCTACTGCTAGGTTTTTTTTTACATAATCACCAGTATAAAGGTTGAACTCTGTGGGATTAAATTGAAATAACTCGTACATTTGATGTAAGCCAAAAGTGGCTGTGTTTGGCCAAGATCAGTGGCACGATCAGTGAGTGTAATAAAACAGTCCCCGTGGGGCTCTCCACACTGTTCCCAGAACAGCTGCTTTGGGGAGGCTGACCTGCAGCCACAGTCGTGACTAATCAGATGTGTTCCCTCATTAAGACCTCCATGCAGCATGGGCATGGAGAAGAACAGAAGACGGCGACGTCTAATCAGGAGCCCATCTGTCGCTTATGGAATTACATACAGAAGCAGGGGGCTCCCACTCAATTGAACTGCTGATGAAATTATGTCGTTCATCCTGTGTTTTAGACCTCAATTTATCAATCTAAATTGACAGTATGTAGGTTTAAAAATAGTGTAGAAACCTTCCAGTGAGGCATGCATATGACTAAAGATCACCTTTTTTCCCCATGGCCTGAATTGAAACAAGTAGCTTTGCACTAACCCATTCAGGGCAAATAACTGAATTTAATGTGAAATTTTGTATGATTAAGTAGAAATGTTACAGAACTTGTTCTGATTGGTGTAAAGCGATGACATTTTGTATAACTATAACTTACTATGAACATCTAACAGTAGCTATTCGTTTTTGTATGTGTCATACTTTTATTCACAGTCACGTTTGGATTTTCTATTGTTTTGTTAAAAATCTGACCCATGTGACCAAAAGACTAAATTTTTATAAAGATAAATATTGTTAAAAGATTTACATAGATTTGCTTACTGCCTTATATAAGAGCTTTATTCAGCTTATTCAGCTACTATAAGCTTTACTCGTTGCTGAGACAGGCGCGCACACATAGCTGATACATAGCTGTCCATAGAAAAGCATTATCTCTAGAATGAGATGCTCTGGAGCAGCTGTACATGATCACCACGCTCAGTGCCGAGTCTCAGCTACAGGCTTTGTTTGTGATCCAAAACTGATCATGTAACATCAGTACCTTACATCAGTGATGCTCTGAACGCCATCAGACCCTTGCAGCAATGTTTCAGCATGTAGTATAAAGCCTCCCCAGATGGTTTCCCTTCCTGCCTGGTTTAGCACACCTGGATCAAATCAAGAAGAAAAAGAAGAGCCTGAAGAACTTTCAGAACATGTCTCAGGTATGTCTCCTTTCAGTCCCTGGTTCACTTGTATTACTTCACTCTACCACTCTGAGACACTGACAGATTAAGTTTAATGTTAATTTTTATGTGTATATATTACAGACCAATCACTTTTCTGTCTTTCCATACAGAGTCAGCAGTCTAAAAGCCTTTGATCATAAATTATATTGTGCATTAACAAGAAATGTTATTGTGAAATAGTGTTGCATATTATATTCATTTGCAGTGTTGAGTTCACATGCAGGGTCTCTGTATGGACTGCGCTTTTCCCTGAAGCCACTAGGCAGCATCAGCACACCACACCTGCAGCAGCACCAGCCTGTATATAACAAAAATAGACATATAGTTTGTGTATGTACATGAAGTGTGTAATGATTTTGATACAGCACTGAAAACTGAATACAGGTAATCTAAAACTGTATTGTATACACCCTTTGGTCTTTTCTGAGGGTCTCACATTTACCACCTTTTGTCGACACCATCAGTGATCACAATTAGGCTTCTGGGTGTATCCTACAGTTTACAGCTTAGTTTCACTGTTTTAAAAGATCACTGTTTTGCACAAGAATAAGTTACTTGGCAATCCTTTGTTCTGGAGTAAAAAGCCAAAGCAATAGTGTAAAATTAGAGGTCTGTGGGATCAAAAGCTTTTTAACACAAGATATATATTTTTTTTAAATTATTGAACCTTGACCTCAGAAGCAAAAATATGTCTTGTATGACGTATGTATATGTATGACATAGGTAGTATTGCCCACAAACCATTTGTGAAAATGATGGACAGATTTAGTTCTAGAGAAAAAACAACATATCACCTTTTTGTCATTTTAATACAATAACATTATTACTGTAATTGAGATTAGATACAAGATAATCCTCTTGTATAAGGAAGGAGAAAGTCAGATCAAAATAAGTGGAAAAAAACTAGAGTTCAAGAAATATGAAAAATGGGACTCCTGACAACCGTGCAAGCCCTGGGTGACCCTCAAAGCTGTCCCAACAGAAAAACAGCACCTAAAGCATTCATCCTTGAGAGAGAGGAGAAAATCAAGCTCCACTCTTAGTTCAGAGCTGAAAACATCCACAGGTGTTTCTGTCCTTCCTTCCACTGTGAGAGGACAACTCAACACTGAATCTGAAAGTATGAAGCCCTTACTGAGAAAAGTAAATAAATAAAAAAGGACATTCTAAAAGACAGAACAGTGGACTGTCCACCCCATAGTCCAGACCTCAACATCGCTGAGTGTGTTTGGGATTATTTGGATCGTGAGAAACAGAAAATGTAACTGACTTATAAGACTGAACGTTGGAGGGGTGGAAAAATATCCCTGTAGATTTCTTTGAAAAACTGAAAGGTCTGTAATAAAGACAAAGGGTTGACACATTAAACAAATTAAAAATTATGATATTTGGTTGTTTAACCTTCTGTGTTTTCTGCCTTTTCCTAACGTGATATTATACTGTGCAATACTGTAGTGGTGTTTGTCCCACAACTAAGATCTATTATTTATGCTTTATTTGTTAATATTACATTAATACGGTTGTTGATGTTATTATTGTTGTTCATTTCATGTCTTTTATGTACTTACTTGCTTGGATGCATACATACCTAATTAAAACAACTACATTTACAGCATTTGGCAGGTGCTCTTATCCGGAGCGACTTACAGTACCATCATTTTACAGAAGTAGTCGAAGGCAGCGTTAGGAGTCTTGCCCAAGGACTTGTATTGGTATAGACTCAACCCCAGTCTACAGTGTAAAAGGGAGAGATGTTACCCCCTACACTATACCAGCCATTACCCAAACACATCTGAACCAGGCGATGGGGATGTGAGTCTCTAGGCCTGCTGTCGGTGTCTGACTGACTCTCAGGTGAAGTGATGCAGTTCACAGTCCTAATGTTTGGTAGTGATAATGTGTGATAGTAGTTCTACACTGGAGTCTGTGATGTATGTATGGATGTACACAACAAACTTAATCTAATAACTAGTAAACATGCTTCATGTCTGGCTGGGATTTGGGTTTCAGACCCGCGCGCTCCTCGACACACTTCAAAGGGCGCAGAGCCAGATGTGGCCCGCGCGCTCATTAACTCCTCTCGGTGCACGCGCGCGCGCCACGGCGCCACCACAGGCGCCACTGTAACCAGAAAGCATGGCGGAGACCCAGAGGGCTGCTTTCCCACCCGGAGCAGCTGCTGTTTACACCAGTGCAGCTTTCCGCTCTCCAAAAAACACAAAAACTGACAGTTTCAGGTACAAAAACACAGCGTTTCGTTTGGAGCTGCTTTTTAAGGAGTGGGCAGAGGCGCTGCTGAGCGCTGGAGAGTGGTCCTGACCAGGCTCTCTCCTCTAAAGACAGCCCCTAACATCTGTATGGGAAGTGTTCTAGCTCCTGGCTGCTCATAATTGGAAGCTTCTTGGCAGGCTGTCAAATGTCTCTCCCAGTTCAATTAGTCGAGTTTGGGCAGAAGAAGTTGAAGAAGCTCCGTCTCCGTTAAATTGGCTGCTCGAGAAGTTCCTCGCCTCGTATTTTAGGCAGCTATTAAACGCACCCCCTGTTTTTCTGGCCACGCGCTCTATTATGTCTCTAAAATGTAAATACGCTGTTTACCGTGTTTAGAGCTGTCAGAAATGTGGTCGTGGGACACAACGATGCAATTAGAGAAGACACATATTCTGACATCTGAGAAATAGTCTCAGTTGCCAGAGTGTTGGATTTGGAAATGTTAACCCTTTAAACTCCAAAAGCTAAACTCCAAAGCTCTAAAGCTGCAGTCTTTAGCAACTAATTCAGAATTATCCAGTAATTACACTGAATTATTCAGTAATTATAACTACTCAGTATGAAATATTGAGTAACTACTCTGAATTATTGAATGATTATTGTGAAAAATTCAGTATGGACTATTCAGTTACTACTAATAATTCATACTAACAGTATTAATTATTGAGTGCTGTGAGTATTCAGTAACTACAATGAACTGTTCAGTATGAATTATTGAGTAACTACTATTAATTATTTAGTAAACTACTGTGAATGATTCAATATGAATTATTGAGTAACTATCGCAAATTATTCAGTATGAATTGTTTAGTAACTACTATGGATTATTCATTATGAATTATTCAGTAACTACAAACCATTCATTATAAACTACTGAATAACTACTATGAATTATTCAGTAACTTCTGTGACTTATTCAGTATAAAGTATTCAGTATCTGTATTAAATTATTCAATAATTACTATAATCTATTCCTTATGAAATACGGAGTAACTACTGTGTATTATTTAATAACTACTATTAAAAACCCAGTATGAATTTGAGTAAGATCCATGAATTATTGAATAAGTACTATGAATTATTAAACAACTACTATGAATGATTCAACAACTAATATGTACTATTCAGTATGAATTCTTCAGTAACTGATGAGAGTGAGGAATTGAAGTGTAGACCCACACTCAGACCCTTAGGGTTTAAGGGGTTAAGTTCAGTCCAGCTGGCTACCATCTGCAGAGTTAAAACATATTTAAGCAAATGAATTCAGTGAGTTAGCAATTTACTGATTTCACTGTTGGATTTATTAGGGGTCCAAGCACCAGTGCTGGAATCCTGATATTTATGCCGGGATTTTTCTGCTTCTGTTTGCTTTATTCCGAGAAGAAATCTGATTTCAATATTGCAGAAGAGTGTGTGTCGTATTTACAGCATGGTGGACTCTTCATGGCTGCTGCACCGAATACCATGTCAAAGAAATAAAAAGAGAAAAGTCACTGCCTCCACTTGTCGGGCTACAGCTGCTTTGGGTGCCGCGCCTGTTCCATTACAAACCCTAACGATGCAGGTGGACTGATTTCAGCACCACGGACAGCGACTGCGCTCCTTCAGCCGGACTGAGCGCTCTGCCCAGCCCGGAGCAGCCTCGACCCATCTCTTCACATTTCATTTTACGCGTACAGATGAGTCACGAAACTTTCGTCCGAGGATTGTTAATGAAAACGACCCCAACCGTACCGCTATTGATTCACAGTGCTGCTTTCTTCCCTTCTTTTTAAGCGTTTGGCTATTTTCAGGTCACTGGGCTGGACAGGCTCCAGCAAGGCGCGGTTCATTCGCACTGATGTGACATCTTTATTCAGAAACGGGTCTCCATTCACAACTCTCTGACGTCCGCCTTCATCAACCCTCTGACGAAACGTGCTCTCATATAAAGATTGGCAGTTACGCTCTACAGCGGAAAAGTGCAGGACTGCTGCTTTGCTGAGGTGAAATATTGCGCTCTTTGCGTTTGGACAGTTCATTTGTCCTTTAATCGGTGCCCGCTGTCCGTCTGGGAGGACTACATAAAGGTGAGTCCCACTTTGCGCTTTTCTGAAGTGTTTAAACCATATTTTGCGCTTTTACTTTGCATTTTTTAATTTTTTTTTTGCAATATTATGCACACTCGACCATTTTACATAGTAATTAAAGCGCACTTTACGCTTATTATAGTAGTTTAGGCACACTTTAGGCTCTCTAACATTTTAGGCACGTTTTGCGTGTTTCTGTAGCGCTTTATGCATATTTTATGCTATTTTTATATAGTATTTTGGTATATTTTGCGCTTTTCTACAAATAGCCTGTAAAATATATGGAAAGGTTTTACTTTTAATAACTAATTAGATAAAACCAACTATACATAGCTTTCAAGCACATTTTGCAGTTGAGTCATAAACACTAGTTCTGATTTCAGTCCCTCATTTTAAGAGACATCAGGATAAAAACAGCGAAAAATGTTTTATTTAACTCTGAATTTCAAACTCAGCCGGTTTCTCCATCTGTTGAACAGCCTTGGCTCTGTTCAGCGAGGCTTCATCTCCATCCTCAGGTCTCAATGACATTCAGCTCTTTGGAGGAAGAACAGCCACTTTAGCAGAGAGAAGATGGCCATCCATGTGGAGGGGGTGGCGGCGATAGTCATCTTCTACTTGCTGATCCTGTTCGTGGGGATATGGGCCGCGTGGAAGAACAAGAACTCCGGGGTGGAGGAGGGAGCGGACCGAAGCGAGACCATCATGGTCGGAGGGAGAGATATTGGACTCTTCGTGGGAGCTTTTACCATGACCGGTAGGGCTCACTCTGAGGAGGTCACCCCAAATCATGCACACTGTGATTCAGTCCTGCTTTTCATACCTGCAGAACTTTCTGCGGTGTCGCTGGACAGCGCGAGTCTCAAACCTGACCGGCGAATACATGCGACAATCAAGAGCGATTTATAGCCGTGATTAACTGAACTTTCCGTAAATTAACTTCGTGTTTTTACGAGTCATAAAAAATTAACTTTAATTTTCTGGTGATGCTCACGGAGACTCATTAAGAGTGAATGTTTAATCCTAACTCTCCACTGCCTCTTCATTTTAGCTGTTTATTCTGAGGTGCTTTTTTTTTTTAAGAGTTTACGTCCTTGTACATCTACTACACAGCACCCAATACATTTAATCTGTTTATTTGATTTAACCCCTCAAAAAATTTAGGCTTTTTACAAATCTACTGCACTCATCCATTTTATTTATTTATTTTATTAGTTATAATGTTTTTAGGGGTGTTCTTGAGAAAGAGCAAAATCTGTCTACAGTAATTTATTTATTCATTATTTTTTGGAGGAGTTCACGTTCTACACTTCTAAATGTAATGTGCCATTTCGTGTATTTCCTCTATGTATCTGTTGACTGTTTGCTGTGGTGTGTCTCAGCGACCTGGGTCGGAGGCGGCTACATCAACGGCACGGCTGAGTATGTGTATCTGCCGGGGTACGGCCTGGCCTGGGCGCAGGCTCCGTTCGGATACGCCATGAGTCTGGTGCTGGGTGAGTACCGCCTCCTTAACGCTCACTGAAAGGCTCGTCACAGTGCTAACCTTCACAACGCTGCCACAGCTGCTTAAATACAGTTAGCTAACTCTGTGCAGGTGGTCTGTTCTTCGCCAAACCCATGCGCTCGCGAGGCTACGTCACCATGCTCGACCCCTTCCAGCAGCTTTATGGGAAGAGGATGGGGGGCCTGCTCTTCATCCCCGCGCTCATGGGCGAGATCTTCTGGTCGGCCGCCATCTTGTCAGCCCTGGGTAAGAAACTCAGTGAGGCAGATGACGGTTTAAAAACCCGCCAGTAACCCACACGAATAGTGCTTTATCACTAGTATTGACGAAAGTAAGTAAACTGAAAGGCAAATGTGTGTTGATATACAATCTTTGCAAAAGTTTTTACACCCCAGTCAGTTTTCATGTTCTGTTATTTTTCTCCACAGAGAGCAAACCTAAATATTTTTCTAAAATTTTTAGTAAACCGTTTCTATTTATTAGCCGAGTTTAACATACTGGATAAAATATAGAATGTGTATATGTTAAATTCATCAAATAAGCAATAATTGTGCATTAAAACGTGCAGAAGTGTTTTCTCTGTAAAGGATGTGCTATTTTATTAATTTATTATCTCATAGAAAAGCAACATAACATGACCAGAGACTCCCAAATTAATTTGGGTTTAATAAAAATCAGCATTTAGTAAAGCTTTGTCCTTAATGCATATTTTGGACATGCTTTTATTTGTGAATTAATTGGTTTTATCAGGAGCAGATAATACTATATTGTAGTGGTGTTCCCGATTCCTGCCTGAACAGAGATTCAAACCCTTATGTATTATTCACTGCACTATCCAACTAGTCCCAGTAATACTTCACTTACAGAAGCATTGCTCTCACTAGAATGATGCTCTATTAGTCTAACTATAATTTTAATACGTTAAAAATGAAATATCTATTAATTAAATATTGGTATGTGGGCCTATGCAGTTTTTAAACCTGAAATATCACAGTATTATAGTGTTTCAGTTTCTTTTTCTAATTCAGTGCATTACTTTTTTGAGGATGTAAGACCTTCTACATTTCAGTCACACCAACTAACAATGTAACGTCTCTTTTTTGTTCAATAGGGGCAACGTTGAGTGTGATTGTGGACATTGACATCAACATGTCTGTGATCATCTCGGCCCTCATAGCCATTTTCTACACGCTGGTGGGAGGAGTCTACTCAGTGGCCTACACAGACGTAGTTCAGCTCTTCTGCATCTTCGTGGGACTGGTACAGTTTATTATTCCCTCAGTTTAGGGCTGCTGTAGAATGCTGTCAGTTATGAAGAGGTGACTGTGCTTTTTGTAAAGTACAACTACTCTTTACGCTCAACATAGGACTGTATATTAGAAAAACCTGCCCTCTACTCTGAACTGACTGGACTGTAGACAGGAACCTTTCAGAATTATTAAGATTAGGTTTTGTTTAAGTGTAGCTGGTCTTAGATTTCCATAAAAGGGCAGCTCCTACCCAGTGTAGATTCCTATGTGTTCAGCAATGCTAAACTTGCTAGAATGTCCTAGAGCTGTAATCACGGTTTGTGCTTTCACATTACACACAAATATTTCCACAATTATTACACCAAACTGTAAAAACCCCTGCATGCATTTGTTGAATATGTAGAGCCTGTCATTTCAATGAAAATTGTGGCAAATATCTCACAATATTACAGAGACTGATTGCCTTGCATTAAGCATTCCATTTGTGTGGAATATACATAATGCAAGTCAGGATAAGGTGAAGCTCTAAATACTCTGAAGCTAGAAATACACATTGTATTGTGTTGCATTGTTCCAGGACAAATACAAACTGCATAAACAAACATTCTTCACAAAAAGAAGGGTAAACCTCTGTGTTCTGCCTACAGTGGATCAGTGTCCCTTTTGCACTGTCAAACCCTGCCGTGTCTGACATTGGAGTGACAGCGGTGAAAGAGCTCTACCAGGACCCGTGGCTGGGACAAATCGAGAGCACAGATAAATGGATGTGGGCTGATAACTTTTGCCTTCTGGTAAGTGGGATTCACCTAGGCACCTAGGCTAGGCCATCTTTGCTTGGAAATTAGTTGTTGGTTTTAAAAATAGCCACTCATTTCTTAGTAAAAAATCTTACAGAAAAACAGATAAAAAGAAATGCAAAATCTACACATTTACCAAAAGTAAAATAACGTCTTAAGATCCTTAAAGGCATCTTACCAAAACCTGTGTGAACATTACTGAGCTGTACATACTGAGCTTGAAATGTGTCAAGCTCTACAGTGTAATTGGATTCTGTAACCTATTCCAAATGAAAGGTCCAGATTAAAGAAAAACTAAACCCTAAAGCATGACCCTGTTCTGTTGGAGAGGTAAATTATATATTTCTAAATGTCAAGGACTTGTTATGGAACACAGTGATTTTCACAAGAACATCCTGTAAATGAAAAGCAAAGCTGTCATCTGTGTGTTGCAAGAAATGGCAAGCCAGTGTTGCAAAACAAATCTAAGCTATGCATAAGGATGAGGTTAATGTGGTGTGCAATAGAAGAGGATATCAGTGAGTTTTAGTGTGGAGAAATAATAAATAAGAAATAAATGTCCTCATTGTCCAATGTATTAGTGTTGCAGCGTAATTTCATGTATCTATAGTTCTCCAGTGACAGTGTTAAACTGTAGCGTGTTGACTGTGCTGTTGTTTGTTGGTGTCTTGCTGCTTGGTGTCTGCATTTACTATGCCATTTTTGTTCCTAGATGTTGGGGGGAATACCCTGGCAGGTCTATTTTCAACGGGTTCTTTCTGCCTCTTCAGCTACCTACGCCCAAGTTCTCTCCTTCTTGGCCGCATTTGGCTGCATTGTCATGGCCGTACCCTCCGTCCTGATCGGAGCCATTGGGGCCTCCACAGGTGAGCTAGTACGTTAGGGCCTCTACTAAGGTCTTCGGCAAGGTCGGCTGTACTTTAAAGCTGGGGTTACATTACACGACTTTTACCCTGATTTTAGCCCTGATTCAAAGCTTCTGTCAAACATTTTTTTGACCTGACACTGAGTGAAATGTAGTAGTATAAACTGATCAACAACTCGATCTAAACAGACTTCTCTAGCAGCCAATGAAAACTGAGGACGAGAAAGGAGAAAATACAGCAAGTGAACAAAGACAAATGGTGAAAAGCCACTCACGTGTCGAGCGAAGCTTTTTAATGAGCTTGAGGCATGAGAACAATCAAGTTTACGTACATTGAAAACTCTAAAAAAATACCACACTGATCACATTTTTAAATGCATGACCCTCACTTAAACATTTTTACCTGCTGCTTCTTTACTGTGTCAGTGCAAGTGGCAGAGAAAACATGCGCAGCAGCGAGCCGCTCCACATTTGTTTATTTGCGTCTCCTAGTAATGAACATGAGTGCATTTAGTTCCGTTCAGTTAAGCAACAGCTTAAAAGAAGTGTGTGATCCCTAATAATTTCTTGTGTGATCTCCAATTTTTCAGTCACCAAAAAAAATCTGCAAAACTGGTTGGATAGTGTGAGATGCCCCATTTTTTTATAATCTGTTAAGACTTTAAAAGTCGTCTTAGTCGTAAAAGTATTTTTGGAAATAGGCCTTGACTCAATATCTAGCCAGTAGCACAGAGTAGACACTACTTCAGGTGTGCAAAGCCTGTTCCTGGAAAGATACCCTTCAGTTTTATTTCAGTTTGGCTAATGTCATAAGCAGTTTGCTGTTTTGCACCACCAATATGGAAGCCACATTTATGCTTTCTACATATTACACTGTCTGGTTCTTGACAATGCATTGCAAGCAGCCCATCATGTTACTGGTCAAAGGAGCTGTTTTGCTAGTGTAGTTCTTGTTTGTTAAGCAACCAGCAAAGAATTCCTAGCACCTAGCAAATGTTATATGTTTCTACTGTGGTCCTTGAGAAACCTCACCTAGCCCATCTAATAAAGCATTGTGTATTTAGCTGAAGGGACCAGGTCCACTTGACTTTAATGTAAGCAAATACTGCTTTCTGGATAATGGCATGTACCTGACAATAATACATTATCAAGAACATGCAGTCCATCATGGTACTGGTAAAAAGAGCTAACCTAATGTTTCACTAGTCTAATTACTGGTTGTGTTGTCAAATAGCATAGAATCCTTAAAATCTCAGGGAACCTAAATGTGAGTTTTATTTTCTAAGTAGGTTAATCTTGCTCTTTTTTACAGAACAAGTATGTCCTGTGAATAACTTTCCAGTGCCCAATAAATACCTGATGTATTTTGCCAATATTCTCCTTTCTCGATATAAACTAGCAGCAGATTAGATGTTCCGAGTGTTGTTCTCAACAAATTATAACCAGCTAGTCAAGCTGTTAAATAATGTAATTTTTTTTTTTACATAAACAGTTTTTATGGCTGTAAAAATGGAAATATGGAAACCAATCTTGATATATCAGCCCAATTCACCACTGTACAGAGCACCTGAAGAATATATCGTTCAAGCAACTCACTTGAACAGATAGCCATGCAAATTTACGCTATTTACTCCTCTTTTTGCAAGCTTGCCATATTCCCTCACTTACAAATTGATCATTTAACAAATCATTCAGGTGGAAGCAATATTTCTAGAGTAATTTCTCCTCATGCCTTAAACTCTCTTTCCTGCTTATTATCCGAAACATCAGTGAAGCGTGTGTGTGCTGATTATGATTACACGCCAGATGCTAAACCTCACATGGGAAAAAACGTCTGACTGCTACTGTCTGACTTTTTTTCTGAAATGCACTCTCACGACAGGGAGGTCTTTCCCCTGCCTGTATTGACCAGGGGTGGTGGCCATGTTTCCGTCAGATCTCTAAAGAAATGTGTAAATAACAACAGCTGGTCTCCCTCATCCATTATTGAGGAGGTATCCGTTTAACGATGTGAACTCTGTAAATATTACATCTGAGGGAAGCGCTGAGGAATCAGATTTAATCTACTGATTTTCACCATCAAAGACACAGCAAGGAACTGATGCTTTACCTATTAGAAAACACAGCTATAACTAGACACTGAATTAGATGAGTTTGAGATGTGACCGTACAAATTTAGGATATGACTGTATATTGATGTTTGTATGTATAAGGTTGGTTTCCCAGGCGCAGATTAAGCACAGACTGAATCAGAAACATAGTGGTAAACATCATTGGCATTGTAATTTACTGCAAAATCAGGTTTAATCCATGTCCAAGAAACCAAACCATAGTTTTTTACTGGCAGGAACAGCAGACCTGAAATTTTAAGCCAGAAATAGAAATGGGTATGAATGTACCACACTTTATTTACTTAACTTCTGGCTATGAAGTACAAGTTATTCATTTTCAGGAGATATTCCTGAGGAGCTCAATCATCTATGGGTCTAAATGGATGAGTAGTTGTCAAGAAGCGAAATAGACAAAAAGGAGAAAATTTGCTGATCAAACAAAGAAGCTGTTGGTGTTCTCAGAACAATATACTGACCACTCCAGACATTAATTGAATGTGTTTGGGATAAGTTGGATTGTGAAAAGCAGAAAAAGCAACCAACTTCTAAGACTGAACTGTGGAGGTGTACGTTTCTTTGAATATCTGAAAGCAAGCCTTTTGAAAAGAATGGAAGCTGAAATAAGGGGAAAAGGTGGACACACTAAATACTGGAAAATAATAAATGAAGCATGGCCTCTGACATTTGCTTAGTACAATAAATAGGTGCACGTTTGAGTAAATAAGTTTTCCCTTCAGATACACCCAGTAAAATTGCTTGTGGTACATTAATACCTACAGTGTGCTGTCAATTCTTCAGTGTGGGTACATAACACAATTCTTCATGATTTATAGGCTGAAGGTTATTCTACGTCATGGTAATCGTTGCTCCACTTTCCCTTGCAGACTGGAATCAGACAAGCTATGGGCCAATCCCGCCCATGAAGAAAGATGAGTCAGAGATGATTCTTCCAATCGTGTTGCAGTACCTGTGCCCGCCCTACGTCTCTTTTTTTGGACTGGGGGCGGTTTCTGCAGCAGTGATGTCATCTGCTGACTCATCCATCCTTTCGGCCAGTTCCATGTTCGCTAGGAATATCTACCAGTTGGCCTTCCGCCAGTCGGTGAGCACTCGTCTGGTGTTATAAAAAAGAATGCTATTGATAACCTTCAGCTGTCCAGGTTTTACAGATGCACACACGTTCACTGAGCCATAGACGTTCCTGAAAATAGTGTTTATGTTTTAATATGCATAAGCGAACAAAGATATTTAAACGTTTTCAACTTAATCTCCTTCTGTCGCATTGTTTGGTTACCACAGACAATAGCGATTAGTTTGAGAAGAGCTTCTTTAAAACTGTTTTATGTGACCAGTTGCAAACAATCGAGCAATACAACAAATTGTGCTAACTCATTGTTTTAGCCAGTGTTTAGATCCATTGTCTCATGTTGCATGTTTGTGCACTCTAGGCATCAGACAGTGAGATCGTGTGGGTCATGAGGATTACCATCTTTGTGTTTGGGGCTCTGGCCACAGCCATGGCCCTCCTCACGGGCACAGTATACGGCCTTTGGTACCTGAGTTCGGACCTGGTCTACGTGATCATCTTCCCCCAGCTCCTCAGCGTCCTGTTCGTCCGAGGCACCAACACCTACGGCTCGGTGGCCGGCTACATCTTTGGCCTGATCCTGCGCATCGGCGGCGGTGAGCCCTACCTCAAACTGCCCCCCTTCATCTACTACCCTGGGTGGTACATCAAAGAGTTGGTCCATCACACCACTCAGGAGGTGGAGCACCTTGTGGTCCAGAAGTTCCCCTTCAAGACAGTGTCCATGCTGGCTTCCTTCCTAGGCAATGTGGCCTTCTCCTACCTGTTCAAGTACCTGTTCGAAAGTGGCACGCTTTCTGCCAAGTACGACTTCCTGGATGCTGTGGTGGCCAAACACAGCGCTGAGATCATGGACAGGACCACCCTGGTGAACAGGAACATCATCGGGTTGAACGAGATGGCTCCGGTCCGGCCGCGGCTCAGCGTCACGCTAGCGAGCACTTTCACCAGGAAGGAAACTTTGACTGAAGAGGATGAATCCAGTCCAGAGTCACCCAGTCATGAAAACGAGTAAAGATCACTGCCCTTTCATTTCAGACTCAGTCCACTGTGGAGAACAATGAGAAGGACAGTGCCTGAATGAATATCACATTTGTGTGAGGACAAAAGAAGGACATGTTTAGTTTCCTTTCAGCATACGTGTTGGATTTTCCATCGCTGCTACAGGACGAGCATAAGACATACAGTAATTGGCTCTCCATGCAGAACGGCAAATGTGGAGAAAAATGGTTAGCATTTACATCAAGGAGCCAAGCCTGCTGCAGGTTCTCCTCTTTGGAATACCTACACTTTGGTATGGTATGTATGAAACAAACTGCTCCTCTCTGCTCTGATCCAGAAGCATAAATACTGTGACTATACACTATATGTGGTGAGGTAGTAGCAATATTAATTTCTCTGAACCTAATCCCTGGTCAGAGTTTGTTTTAAAAAGTGAAAAAAAACTAACTGAATAAATATACTGTGTATCAGCATAGACGTTTAAGGAATATGTACCTCCTAATGTCAGACCCCCAGTTAGTACAGTTTATCTTATTGTCCTGTCATGAAATGCATAAACAGTATTGTCATTGCTAAAGTACATGGTATAACTGTGAGATAACTGCACACGCAGCATAAGTCTACATTATTTTATTTTGTGCAATACAAAGCAAATTTGAGAACAGGGTGGGGAATATACTGTTGCAAACGCCTTAACTAGAAGCATTAAGTGGGGGGGGTTAGTGCTGCTGAATTTGAAACGATTCCTACTCCCACTGCATCGGGCACATCTTTCACTCCCCGTGTAGTGCGCTGTGTCAAACATGGAGCCATTTCAAATTCAGCAAGATGTTATGCAAACAGCTCAGCAGCCACTTTGTTGGGACTTGAAAATGAATGTAGCTGCTACAAAAGACTTACCTGATGTAATACTCGTAAGGGACCTGTGCTGTGTTATTCTGTGATCTGCAAACTCATAAACTCATTGCAAGAAGCTATCGTGTACCTGGTTTAGGGCTAAATCAGTATCTGTGTTCATTTGTTGTCTTAAAGATGAAAGATTTTTTGTGTGTGATGTGTCTATTTATATTTATATATTTTAAGGAAAAAAGTATAAATGTATATTGTCATTTTAGTGTGCTGGTAAAGGTAATATTCAGTTTGGTGAGAAACAGCTTTAGGCCAGTAAATCTATATTTATTTATGTATTATGGCCTAAAAATATTGTTATAAATGTAGAACAAATCAACATAAATAAATTCTATTATTAAAAGGTTTAGTGATTGTGTCTTTTTGCTATGTGGCACATATTCAACAAGTACATATTACGCTAGTGAAAAAACCCTTAGTAATAACTATATATATATATATATATATATATATATATACATATATATTATTATACTATATATATATAATTGTGTTTTATTCACGCAATAGATATGTCGCATTTTTAAATTCCATTCAGCACTGCAGTGTTATATAAGGCGGTCGTTTCACAGTGGCTCGAGCTGAACGTCGCCCCCCACAGTGGCTAGCTTAGAAAGCAAAGGCGTGTACGAAAAACGTGACAGAATTTATGGTTTAACTCACTTTCCCTCTATCCTCCATCTCCAAAGTCACAATAGGGTAGGTGGGGGGGCAAAAAAGTGGCTCTAAAAATAGCCACTTCGTTATTTGCATCACGCTAAGTGCTCCTCCAGTCTTGCCAGGGTGGAGTGTAAGGCGGAGTAAGTGTGGAGGGGGAGGAAGTGAAGAGAAGAGTGGGCGGGGGGTGGTGGTGGGTGGATGGGATGGGATGGGCTGGGCCTTTTATGCCTCCCGTTTTCTTCCACTGCGACAGTTCCCCGAGGCTGCTGAAGGTTGGGGGTTGGTGATGGCGGTGATGATGACGCAGGCAAAGCTGCCCCACCCTCTTTTCTCCTGCGTCCCTTCTCGCTCGTCCTCCATCATGTCCTTGCCGTCCTAAAGTTTAATCCAATTAAGTCTCTGTGGCAGGAGATGCCAGAGATCCATTCACTAAGAACAACAAAGTGCACTCGGCCTGATTAATAACCAAAAATAAATGCTTTGGTTTAGCCAAAAGTCCAGGCAATTTAGTGCCTTCCAGCTGAGGGGGCGTTCATGGCCATTAAAAATAGCATCTGGAACTGACCCATAGACCGTTTGTGCTGACGAGGAATACCAGGATATGGGTTTTGAATGGCATGGGTTCATAATTCTGTACATAGAAACTTTTCATTTAAGAAATATTTACCGTCAGTTAAAAATAAGGTGCCGAAAAGGGTTATCTGAAGCGATGCCATAGAAGAACCACATTTGGTTCCTTAAACCAAATTTCAGTAGTTCTGCATTATTTAATGATTGAGATGTAAAGACTGTTTTGATTTGAAATGGATCAGTGTAGAGAAACTTACTGACTCAGATTTCTTTACAGTGGTGGTGATAGGAGCCAGGGATAACAACGTCTAGGACACAAATATAGATATTTTATTTACTATCCAAAATGACTAGTGAGCCTACATGTGTCTTCTGAGTTTTTATGTGCAATGCTGAAAATGGAGCAATAGAGGTTAAAAAAAATTTGGTACTATTTGGCCTCACACCAAGCATGTATCTCCCACCACAAATGAATTTAAAAAACGTTTTAGGACAAAATCTTCTCTCAATACTATAATAAAACAATATATCAGGCATCAGGCAACATATTGATAACTAGTTATGTATTTCTGTATTTAAATATGTTAATATGTTATGAGGTAGAAAAAGAAACACAGTAAATAAATATATCAGACCTCCGGCTCTTATCAAAACCATTGTGAACAAGACTCAGTAAGGTTCTCCAGAATAGAACATTTCACATCAGACCACTCTGAACGACTTCCTTTTTTAAATGAGTTTATTATGAAGAAAGTTTTGTAAAATCATTGAAGTCCCCTTTTAAACAAACTTAATCAAGTGGTCTTGACCCTCTAGGCACCTTCATTTTTAAAGAGTAGTACTGGTAAATCTTCATTCCTAGTTAAATGATCATCAATGGTTTAAACTGTAACCTTTTTAGTTCCATGGGTATTCATGTATCACTTGGATGATTTACATTTCTTGTCACATCCTGCACGTATGACTCAGCCTATTAATGGAATGGAGTCGGTTCTAGACTCTCCCTCTGAAATATGTAACTTACGATTCAATCAGCTTGGAGACAGAGAGAGGACATGTGTCCTGGTTTATAGTCCAATCAATCAACTCAACAACAACTACCTCCACGTTTTACAGCAGCTGGCTAAGGCAGCATTTTGCATACCGAGTTAAAACTACTCTTGTATTTTCCAATCACAGTGAATAGATAACTCATAATGTCCCTGGGAATGTGGTATTTGATGTTACATGGCATTTTTAACCTGTAGTTTTAAGAAAGCAATTTTTGACCATGAAACCCCAAGGAATATTACCCTCAAGTGGTCTCTTTAAGTGAAATGGCATTTTCATAATATACTCCATTTCAATTATAGAACTGCTTGCTCCCCTGTGTGCTGTAAGAAACCTGAGTGGAAGGCCATCTGTGGCACCGTCCCTTTCACTATGTTAGCATTAGATAATAGCGCCTTCGTGCACCTGTCAAGGAAGTCATCAGTCTTATCAAAGGAGGCAGCTTAATCAGATTGGTCCTCATTAAACCTGGTTTGGTAATTGAGCATGCTGGGAAATGTAGTCTTGAGCCTTTCCAGAAGACATGAGATAATGTGATCAGAGTGATAAGAAACTCCAGCTGGAGCAGAGGGGTCACCATATATGAGAAGAGCTGAATATGGCATAGCTCAGCATAGCACAATTGAATTGTGTGAATAAAGATAGAAGAGTTTCATTGAGTCTGAGACCCAAGACTTTGACTAGTCATCTTATTTTATTAGTGCTGATGTCTGATGTCACCGCACTCTATTTAATCCTTTCCTTAAATGTAACTCTTAGCCAAAGAAACTTTCATGTACAAAATTTCTGTGATGTTTACTGAAGGACATCTCTATAAAATGTCTGTCTGAACTAATGTTCCACAGCCCTAGTGATAAAGATCAGGTCAACATATGTGTGTATATATATACATTTTCCAAGTAATTTTGGACCATTTCTGTTCTGTTCTGACAGAACATAAAGGGCAGCTGCCTTTTTCGAAATTACATCAAAAAATGAAAAATGACAAAAATGGAGATACAAGGTTTTGTCCTGACAGCAGCTATTTATATATATATATATATATATATATATATATATATATATATATATATATATACACACACGCTAGCTTTGCTTTCCTTGTAAAACATATCAATTTGTAGGCTAAAATCATCTGAGGTGTGATTTGATATGATCACATGGTACATTCAGCACTTTGATTGGCTGTTTCATGAAACTTGTTTTTACAAAGTAAAAACCGTGCTCATTTACTTGTACTCTTCTGAACATTCTGATACCACCTGACATAAGCTGAGTGTACACCACCGCACTAATGAAGAAACGCAGTGAAGGAGGTTCTGCTCACACAGAGAAGTGTTACTGACTCCATCACAGTTGGACACAAACCCACTGGTCACTTTAAACATTATGTGATTTGACAAAAAGAAGTCGCCATTTGCTACCAAAGTCTATCTTACTCACTTTACTCTGTTTGACTGAGTAGAATAGCGAGTTATAAATGTTAATACAGTGATTTCTCTGTAAAAAGGCTGTAGGGAGACTGTATTGTTCTTCTGTGAACATCACTGCCTGCTTTAGCTCCAGTGCTCAGTGTTTGCAGCACTGCTCTATGCTCAGTACTCAGTGTGTATCGTATTATTTCAAATGAAACAGCTTTGTCACTCCTTCCACTGTGAGAAAACAAAGCAGTGCTATGTGTCTGAAGAATGTGTTGCTGTCAAAACACTATAACTGAGAAAAGGTAATAGACAAAAAAGAACATTTGCAAATGAAACAAAAAGCTACTGGTTTTCTCAGGACAATGGACTGACCACCTCAGTCCAGACCTCAACATCACTGAATGTGTTTGTGATTACTCAGAACATGAGAAGCAGAAAATACCACCAGCTTCTAAGACTGAACTTTGGAGGTGTGAAAAATATCCCTGTAGATTTCTTTGTAAAACTGAAAGCAAGACTCCTGAAAAGAATGGAAGCTGTCATAAAGACAAAGAGTGAACACACTAAATACTGACAAAACGTATTTAGATGTTGTGGCTTCTGTGTAATTTTCTGTTCTGTCTTTTTTCCTGGCGCTGAAGAATAATTTGTGCTTAATGGCTGTGTTGACTGGAGAGTAAGGTTTTCTTCTGATGACGCCTCCAGACTGTTGAGCTGGCATGAAGCTG